CCGGGTTGAGAAGTAATGTCTCGCTCGATAAGTTGTCCCACATCCGGAATAGACTTCTTGAGAAAATGCGTACTGCGGGCTCATTGTCTTTCGCACCTCACTTAATAAGCTCCCCACAAATGACGAGTCTATCACTCACCTAGTCACTATCCACACTTTCTAGGCTAGTGAAAACATACTAGGACCTCTGAACGTGTAAGGTGGGACTATCATGAATCTCAAGTACCTTTTACCTCAATGGGCTCACAAAGGGTGTTTGATTGCCAGTTCACCTGGCTAGATTGTGTGGTTTGAAAGTACGAATACAAAGTCAGTGTTCCCCTTAAGTTTACTAACAAAAACCGCGCATTTAATAATTCGTGTGAACTCCTATAAGAAAAAACAGAAGAGTTATTCTTGTGGGCGTAAATTAAAGCTTGCACAAGGTTCGAATGACTCTAAAATGGCAAGAACTTCTCTTCTCCTGGTTTATCTTGCGTGATATTCCATTGCCAAGTTTCTCCTTGTGCTGTCTTTTCTCTTCTTTTCAGAATCAACCTGATGGAAAATCCTAGGCATTAATTTAATCGAAAGGTGTCAACTTACTGAAAATCCTACTTCATATGTAATATTGGAAACTGATGTTAGAATTCTTCAGCTGTCTTGCTCTGATTTTCCGTCTCTTGAAAAGCTTCGCAATCAACTCACCTGATTACCAGTACCCTAAGCACTACCACACGCGAAACCTCTAGCGCAGCTACTGGTCTCCGATTTCTGGTCCGTCACGAATGCAGGGGAATCTTGATAAGTGACTTTACCTAACGGCAACACATCCATAACAATGCTATGCAACAGATTTCCACAGTACCTTGTCTTGTATGAATCCATCTGATAGAGGGCAACTAACAGTCAAAGTATCTCCTTGACAATGCTGCACATTTCAATGTGAAATATATGAAGTTTCACATGTGTGTAAAATCCACGGTTGTAAAGCGATGATTCTTCCAGCGTGTAACTACCTGCACCATACTAAATTTTTGCAGTGTTATCAATCCTAATTGCTGGGAAGGATACACTCGAAGGGTGGAAAATTCCTGAACTTGGACACCTAGGTCACATGATTATATGGGTACTTACTTATTCCTCAAATCATTGAAGTAGGTTATTTCTAGGCATTGAAGCTATGAATATAAGAATTGTTGTTGAACTAGACATTTATATGAGGAAACACCGGATTTTGCAGATGAGTTTATGATGTTGACTACTCTTAACGCAAACATCCAACATTGCGGGATTTGATGCCACTTTGGTGTGAAAGAAGAATTGTCAGCAGAAATGATCTAGACTAAAACGATGTAAAGTGATATTTTCCTGCTCTTTTCATAGCTGCCAAATACTTGGTATCATGATAGAGTTTAATATCCCTCCTTTACCATTCGACGCTGCTCTTATCTTTTGGGTTTCTCCACGGTTGTCAATTTGGTGATGCCCGTAAATCGACTTCCCTCACTTTAAGCCCATAAGGTAAGGGCAAAATATTTATTTATTTATTTACATCACGTCCATGGAGGCTGCAACGACCGAAATCTCTACAGGGAAAACTAAGAGAGTTACTAGATCAGGTAGAAGAGTTCACCGGCCAAGAGGTTACGTACAGGTGATCATGATTTATCTTTTCAGTCTGGCTATATTCTCTGAATCGTGTCGAATACAGGTTTATTTTACGCGTATGCACTCCGTTGATACACACTCGCATTTATTTATTTTCAATCCTCCACACGTTGCCTTTATCTAAGACCTGCGTATAACAGGTCGCTTTTCGTTATTGCATATTCTCTTACTCGTTTTCATGATTGCTGAATGTAACAGCCTCATACTCGGCGATCAGAGTTAAAGGTCACCAAATACCGCATTTTAGTGTATTATTCTTGGACGTGCACCTTTAGCCCTTTGGGGCTAATGCTATTGGACGCACAATAACCGCAACAGAGGTCACTGACACGACACTCGAACGACTGCTGAGCTCAAATGGCTTACCGCTACTAATTGGCAGCAGTAACTGAAGGTATGTTCATCCATCCCTATACCCTCAAACCCTAGTATTTGCAGTAAGACCGTCCCTTCTTCATATTATCAGTGGCAACATCTATTTTTCCAGAAGTACTTCTCACTCCTGTTTTCTCATCCCCTACTCACCCTGTTTCTCACACTGCTCCCCAAACACGCCTAATATTTTCCTTCAGGTGCTTACGAAAACAGAGGTAGCGAGAGGTTGATGGATTTTATCATCAGCTCCGTTTCTACCCAAACAAACAAATAAACCTGCAGTCTGAAAAGAATTTCATCAAAAAGACAAGCATAACCTCAGAAACTACAAGCTAATAAACTGTGAAGACCTTTTCTACCGCTTATGGGGTATTACCAAGCAAGAAGAACCAAGTCTCAAAACCTAGAAGCGAGAGGTTGAAAACCATAACTTTCCTTCATTCACAGTAATGATGCTGGATGTTGTTAGATGTTTGGTAAATACTAGAGGAAATAAGTTGGTCATTTCGAAATAATGCGCACGGTTTTACGTTGTAAATAAATGCCGATTGCATCTGAAGGAATAGATGTTCATTGACTTTGCTGTAAGCTAGTGATTATAATATCCTCAGATTTGTTTAGCTGCGTCAACTAAGTACATCGGTTAATTCGATGTCAGGTGGACTGCGCACTATCTGAGTTTGCCCTCCTGTGTAGGAGTGACTTTAGATACTGGTATAACAAAGTTTGAAGTAACCGGTTAAAGTGATTTATTTTGTAGAAATTTCGTTTACTAGCAGGAATGGTTATATCAGTGTTAGCCCGGGTGGTGTTTTTCGTCAATCTTTGCGTACGTTGATTTATAGGTCATTTCGGCACTATATATAGTACTATAGTAACTATCGAAATGACAGATTAGGTTTCTTCGTATTCGGAAAAAAAATTCTTCCAGTCAACGTAGAGGATCATATTTAGTCTTTCAGGGGTCGCAAGGACGGCTCTTTAGGGTCATTATTTTGCCTAATACGAAATCAGAAATTATGTGAAACTAATGGAAATAAGCTAAATTCGTATTTCTGTTTCTAGGTGTATGACAGAAAATTGCGTTTCTTGTTCTCGGTTTTCAGGTTAGTAGCATTGGACATACTACCATTTTTCATGAATACTAATTATAACGTGACACTGGCCACGTAGCCAGTATGGAAGTTTAGACTGAATATTGCTGGGATGTTTGGCGTCTTGCACTTATTGTGCGGGGAGGCTAAGTTTTTCAAGGAATAAGGGAATTACGCGGACACGACATAAAGTGAAACCAATGTGGGACTGCAATCTGTCCTATAAACAACATTTAGGTCCACTATTTCTGTTCCTGCTGTCTTGCAATAAAAAGGTTTGGCCTAACACTATCATTCCGCATCCACAGACGATGACTTGTGTTTCTTGTTAGGGTTGATAGCTTCCAAGGTGGGGAACTTTAGAACCCTGTCGTTTTTCCGTGACATAAAGTGGCTAATCATATTTCCAAGCTCACAGAATTCCTCTGGTAATATTGGTTACACTCTGTAGGGTTGCCACTAATTACAGTGTGTATAGTATTTATGCAGTATCTTTTAAATGTCTCTTGGCGTTTATATTGTCTTATCGTTGAGGAAATCGAGAATGAATAGCTCACGTTAGACTGCATTATGCACATCATAACACTATGCACTGAGTCACTTCGACTTGTTGTTCAGAGTAGTTAGCTAAGCTACTAGTTCTAGCTGTTTTTCTCTGTAATCTCTGACTCCATATTCCTGCATGCCTGGACCAAATAAAATGCAATCTTTTCTTGAATCAAAAACACCTTACTACTCTATTCTTGATCGTCATTCATTTATTTATGCCTAGTTAAATTCACGCAAGTCTGACAGGCTAAAAGATGGCTTATTTTAGATGTATCTACTTTACTAGTGGTGCTCATACTCTTGGATACAATTTTTAATTGTATGAATTATCTAAGTATTTCTGTATTGATTATCTGCTTTACCGTTAAATAGCAGGGTGATAGATTGTCGTAGGAAGCACGCAACTACACAGTGTATTCTGCAGTAGCATATTTGTGGGGACAGGTGTGACAACCAAAACAGGAAGTCAGATATGCTAGAGTTTTCTGTTCATTTCTACAAGTGTACCTACAGCTTCCGTCTACTGAACACAAAAATATCCTTTCATTTTATTTCCTTATTGGTTTTCTTTCTGTGAAGTATGGCAGTTTGATCCGATGCACTTTTGTTCAAGGTTCTATCTGATTCCTGAAAGTGTGGTAACTGTTGTGCAAGGTTGTGCTATTATACTTCCGTGTTTTGCATTCATTTAACTTGCTATGTATTTATATTCCGGTTACTCATTACTCGATTTGTCTCATTCATTGGTCTAGAAATCTGCAGTTTCAATATTTTCCAAAAGATGAAGCATTAAAGTCGGTTTGGCCAATTGATTCGCTTAATCATACCATGATACTATTTTAATAACATATTTTACCATTTTCTTGTTTAATTTTTGAACTCTTACGTTGTTTGCACCAAGTCGCATAAGTGTTTTGCATCTGAGTGATGTATTTCTGGTTTGTTATCAGCACCAACTTCTCAAGGATCAACAGTACCCTGTTTCGACCTTACGTTGGGTGGATTTCGATCCTGCGATAGTGGTAGGAAATCATGTGCTTAGACTGAACTTCACAGCCTTGGGAAGTTGACAAGCCTTCCATAAAATAAATATAACCCTAAATAATAATCAGAAGCAGCAGATGACAGACATTTTTATTATGCATCGAAGGCATTCAGCAAGTGTTTTTTGGATGTCTTCAAAAGCATGTGGGTTGTTGAATTATTTTGTAAAGTGATGGTAGATTCATTTTGTTAAGTTTTCGGTAAGTTTATTTAATTCAGCATGAAATTCATTTGTTCTGCGAATGATTGTTTTATTATTGTTGTTATTGTTTTCATTTAGAGAAAGTAATGAGAAAGTCTGCAGCACCAAGCCGCCTTAGTCAACCGCTGGATTATTTATCACAGAATATAAATCCACGAAAGACATCTGAATGCAAACCAACTTCACATTCGCCTCCAAGTCTCCAGATTCCAGTCATACCTAAGCATACTGATTTGCCACTAGATTTCAAGCGTTATATGTATTTTGAAGCTGTTTATGCTAAAGCTTCAACTAAAAAGGTAAGGTGAATACTGTCGATGAATTTTCACTGATGATATTCTAGCACAAAAAGTGGGAAGGTGACGGTAGGGAATTATTGGTTGTTTTATTGATGCGCATACCTTTTTATTTATTCAGGCTTTGTCGAAGTTGATGGACGAACTATGAAACTCATAACTGAGGAGCTAAAAGTGTACGTCATATGTGTTTTATATGCTGAAGTGAATCTTGATGGTAATTTTCCAATTTTTCTAGAATCGCATCAACTTCCAGCCATAAATTAGCATTTTTAAATGATATTGATACTGGCTCAATTGTTCATATTGGTTCCTATGAGGCAGAACTTATTTCACGCATAGAAAAACCTCAATTAAATAGCGCTAATTCCAAATCGAAGGAGGTTACAAAAACGTCATTTGCGTCAGGTAATTTGCGAACTATGTTTTTCACTGTTTTTCGTTCCAGAAGAATATCCGACTAATAAAACAACTACGAAGTCTTCCCTCTGTTTACCCAAGGTAGTTTTTTTTCAAATTTTCACAGTAATGGTTATGTTCAGTTCAGGCTTCAGGTGTTTGACCACCGTTGCCTTCGTATTATAGGCCGTATTCTTTGGTGTCACCATCTGAGTAATGCAGACGTCAGGTATAGAGTTTTAGGGAGAAGAAGTAAATCAGTTGACACGGTTGTGAACCTTCATCGATTGAGATGGTTGGGACACGTAGTACGTATGTCTAGTCACCGATTACCTTGTCACACAATGTTGACCGAAGTAGGCGCAGGCTGGAAAAAGGCCTGACTGAGGTGGCCAGACTAAAACATGGTAGCAATGTATGAAGTCTCTGACTGTTGGTTTGAGCCATATGGGGCGATGCAGACTAGATGTTTGGGGTCCACGGGACAAGAGGAACCAGTGGCTGCAGACTCTGGGGGATATGGCTCAGAACTGATGTCAGTGGTGCAGATGTATACACACATTATCCTCATCTTAACACTATACCGATTCTCATCGTTTTGTCATTCTTCCTTCCTCTCCTTGAGTATTTAATATTTCTTTTGACTGAATTTTCTTATCTTCATCTTTCACCTCACTACCTTTGTAGTCGATGTACTGATATGAGGTGTGGCAACTCGGACCGCTGCGCAGTAATGCCTAGTCCTATGTTGATTTGGATGGATGGATCTTCAGTTCCATTCTCCACTCAACATCTAATTTGAATTTTGATTTCATATTCTGATATTCAGTAGGTGTTTTATTTTAGTTAGTATCTTGTCTCTTTGTAATCTCTGCTTACGCACCCACTCACTGTGATTCAGAAGAAGCAAAGGGTGAGTTCTACCGGAATGTCTAACGTCTTATTAGGATCCAAGCGCTCAGACATGGTAGTTGCAGTTGATTTCAATGCATAAGTGGGCAGGCTAAGTCAGGCATAAAGGCACTTCGGTGCCATTTTTGAAATCCCAGCTGAATGAACAGATGACGATGGTCGCCTACTACAGCTGTGTTCACGTAACCGTTCATTTCTAGCCAGCACAAACTTCAGACATAAAGACAGAGATTGTCAGGTTTGATGTCCACCGACTTCAACTCAGCGGTTCTCCCCATAAAATAAGCTGTAATCACTGAAAGTTCTCGTGTCTTCAAGTTTTTCTTACGGTAGCATTCAGATTAAGGTGCAATAGTCTTTACTTGACATAAGAGTGAGGTTGTGTCTTCATCAATATAAACTGCCGTAGTATTCTTCTTGCAAGGAGTTATATATATATATATATATATATATATATATATATATATATATATATATATATATATATATATATATCGCTACTGATAGTTTACTATCACCATAATCTATATGTTTTAGCCTTCTGCTATATCAACTCATGATGTATCCAATGATTCTTTGAACCCGTTAATTATGCCTAAACCTCCGGCTGATTGCATTGTAAGTGATAATTGTAATCTATGTTTTCCTGCCTACGATAACTTCCATTTAAATTTTCATCATACGGAATAATATTTCTGTAATGAATTGTTTCATATCATCATTCATTTCATGATATCTTGATTGTTTGATCTAATGATTGTTGGGAGACTTCTATGAGTAAACCATTTATTTTTTGATAGGACAGCACTTTCAGAATTAGATCCAGTTCCTAATACTTCTATTAAACAAAATTAACACGAAACTTTTGTCTGAAATCAACAAGTAGGTAAGTATTCAAAAATTTGTCACTGAGTTGCCATATGAAAATCGGATTCTAATGAATGCATACATTTTCAATTGCAAATTTAACATACTTTAAGATAATATTGAATTCGATTGAATTGTTGCACAGTTTTCTTCGATAACCCTCTAATTTTACCGTCTCCTACTATGTTCAATGTGACTTAACACAGACTTCTTAACTCTCATGGAAAAAGACCTGGCTATTCATTAATTAACGCACCATCTTTGTTCATTGTCATCGTAATTATTATCGCTGATAAATTTCGATAATCATCTGTTAGTGAGCGGTATCTTTACTACTGGAAGCGTGTGGGTGATTGACAGTCCCCGGCTGTCCACACCGTGAGAGGGTATTTCTTCTTAAGGCACCTAAAAGAGAAAAATATTTTCGTGACCGCAGAGCCCATGGGAGAATCTGCTTGAAATCTGTCACACAACCTTCTGCGAAGTTTTGTTATGAGGTTTGGTGGTTTTCATGCCGGGTACAGGAAACCCACATCCCTGGCATCTGAAGACCACGGGGGAGGAAAGAGTGTGCTATTTTTGGGACCCCACCCGTTCTCACAGGGAAGGCACCATCAGCGTGGCACTGCTGGTCATTCAAGGGAAACACTTAACTCCTGCTACACCCTTTCCAGCCAGCAGTAGTATGATTTCACTCTCGGGTCCCCATCATAGTGTAGCAATTTACAAGTCAATTTTTTGTCTAAGCATTAGCCAACAGACCTTTCCAGCATGGTAGGACGTTGAGAAAACAAGCATTTTAGCCAGTGTAGCTCGTTGGGTAATTTCGACATACAAGCCCGAGCACCACGTCAAGGTAGTAGCTATCGGCCGAAGAACAATATATTTGGTAGGCCAGTACCTTCCGAATATAATTGCCAGCTTTGTTAGAAAAATACACTCAGTTATAAAAATACATTTTACTCTCATATTTCAGTAAAATCTTACTGTCAGAAATATTGTGGGTGAACTTATTGACCTATTTATTATTTTGTACAAGTTTGATTTCGGTGTTTTGTTTGTTGTTGGAGAATCAGTAATGATGTAGACCTAGTTGTCACGATCAGGAAAGTAGATGTCAGTGGTGTTCAATTTTCACAGATTGTGTTTTGTTATCACAACTGTATGAAGTGTAAGTTTAATGAACGTCTTGGATATTGCAGCAGCAGACAGCAGCTAATATCAACATAGGAACAGGCATTACTGCATAGCGGTCCAAGTTGCCGCAACTCACATCAGTATACCAGTATATAGCGAGAATGCTGCCTTGGCGTGGTGATCGAGTTTACATACCTCAATGACCCAACGAGCTATACCAGTGGAAGTACTGTTTCCTAGGAATGATATCCTGCCAGAAAGGTCAGTTGGATAGCGTGAAGATAAAAAGCAGCTACCGTTGTAATGTAAATTGCTGCCTTATTGTAGTGGTTCGAGGGCGAAGTCGTACTGCTGGATGGACGAAAGTGTGACAGCAGTAAGGTGTTTCCTGTGGACAACCAGCATTGCTATGTTGATACTGTTTTATCTTTTTTTGATGAAAACGGGGATGGTTGGGTTAGGAAGGTGTTATACCTTCGTCGCCAGCTGTTATATGTTCCGAACAGATATAATACGCGCTTAACTGACAGCTAACTTCGTACTCAAGAGCCACCGACTGCAACCCGGGACAAAGAGAGAGAAGACCGAAGCTGGATGATGGGAGAGTTTATTCCTCGGAGAATATAATAATCAATCAGTCCATAAACATGTGAATATGTATACACATGAAATATGAGCTTGTCTACAATTTGAGACATTGGCGTAGTAAGAGTGTAGGTTAACCAGTCAGCGAATTGCACTACAATGGGGGCATAAAATAAACTACTAGTCATACCATCAAACCTCGCCTGGTTAACTAGCTCGGATAAAGAGGGTTGGTTGGGCATAGGGCTAGTAATTCTATATTAGATTTGTTTATTTGATTTATAACACACAGTCACTAGTATTATTTACTTGATGGCTGTGTGTTATAAATCGAATAAACAAATCTACTATAGAATTAAATTCTACCGCAGTGCCCAAGTTTTACACCTATGTTAATAGGGCTAGTAACCTTACCCCGTAAAACCAATCCAATCGCTAAAGAAACTTCAAAGCACACAGAAAATATTGCAAGTAAAAAATAAACTTATTCCTCTCTGGAATCCGGGAGACGAAACGAAGTCAGTTGGTGAAAGCCTTCAGGAAACCAATTGGCCGATGTGTCTTCTCTCGACGAAAGCGAAAGTAAGAATGGGGACATGGAATGTCCGCATAGTGTTTGAAGCTGGCTGGCAAGGCTGCAGAGATTGCAAAAGAGATGATAAGGTATGGTATAGAAGTGTTAGGAATCTGAGATGAATCTGCAGATGGAATGGAAGTGGACTCTCGAAACTGTCAACTGGAGAGTCAGTAATCTACTCCGATATTGTCACACAGACGACAACCACGAGCACAGTGAGTTATGGAGTGCTATCATGATATCCCCTTGAAGAGCATCGAAGGCTGTCTCTCATGCAGTGGAACTGATCTCCACCTGCAGGATCATGACAGCAAGATGGAGTCAACTCGAAAGGGAGGAAGGAAGGAAGGAAAGTCACAATCATACAATGCAAGGCTACGCACCTACAAATAATGCAGATGAAGAGAAGAAAGAGGAATTCTGTAGACAATTGCAAACAGTAAGATACAAGACCCCAGTTGGCAGCAGCGACATCAAAATTCTAATGGGTAGTGTGACACAAATGCTAAACTGGGAGTGGACAACACAGGAAGAGAACTCATCATGGGTCGAGAAGCACTCGGTGAAATGATGAATGAGAATTGAGAACTGTTTACAGACTTCTGTGCATTCAGCGGTTTGGTGATTGAAGGCAATGTGTACCAATACAAGGGTATTCACAAGGCAGCGACATGGAGTTGATTTCACCAAATGGACTCACTACACTGAGAATCAGATCGATTTCATCTCAATGTGAAGAAAGTGGAGACGCAGCCTACTGGACTCAAGATCAGATCAAGAAGGGGAGCAGATGTAGGTTCACATCACTCACTATCTTAGCGCAATGAACCTACCTTCAAAACCAAGTTGAAAGCCTTCAAAGAAGTTGGTGACAGAGACAGAAACCTGACAACACTATCAAATGACCAGCTTACTATCTGGGAAGGGATCGACACAGATGAAACCAATGAAAGATAGTGAAGGAAACTTAATTACCAAAGAGAAGCGACAAAGGAAATACTGGGCTGATTGCTTTAAACAACTCTTGAGTCGACCACCACCACCTGCAGTTCTGCAGGTGGCAGCCCAGCTACAGAACTATCAGTGAACACAAGCCCTCCGATAAAAGCCGAAGTCCAGGACAGCAGCAGGATCAGATGGAATTCCACCAGAAGCACTGAAAACAGAGGTGCCTACCTGCCAACTGATTGGAAGAAAGACTACCTTGTCAAACTTTCAAAGAACTGTGACCTTAGTCTTTGCAAGAACTGGCGTGGAATCATGCTGCGCAAGCAAAATATTAAGCCGCATCATCCTGGAGAGAGATTAAGGGATGCGCTGGATTCAAAACTACGACCGGAGCAGGCTGGCTGGATTCAGGAAGAACAAATCATGTGGGGATCAAATTGCAAAGCTACTTAACACCATAGAACAGAGTATAGAATAGCAGTCAACTCTCTACTTCAACTTCACCGACTTTGAAGAGTCCTTCGATCGAGGCGTCGACCGAGAAGTAGTTTGGCAGCTGATTCAACACTACGGTTTCGGTGCCACAAATCTTTATCAACCTCATTCAACAGTTATGTGATACATGATGCTACATGCCAAGTGATCCACATTGGTAAGCTCAGTGATGCCTTTGAAGTGAAGACTGGGGACAGGAGTAAGACAAGGCTGCCTACTGTCATCACTGATGATCTTCCTGATTGTGGTGGACTGGATCATGCAGCATATCATGAGAAGCGAGAAGATGGGCATACACTGGCTGGACTGATGAAAAGAGCCTAGAAGATTTGGATTTCGCCAATGATTTATGCCTAATGTCGCACAAACTCGAAGGTCTACAGCAAAAACCAATAAGTTGACGGAAGAGTCAGCGTAAACGGGACTTCAAGTGAACAGGGAGAAAACGGGTGTGATGAAGATACCCAAACAACAACAACAAACACCAATCACCATCAACTGGCGAAACCTAAAGGAAGTAGTCTCTTTCACCTACCTACCTAGGCAGGGCAGCATCGTTTCAACTACAGGCGGCACAGGCACCGATGAGGATGCCAAAGCCAGGATCGGAAAGGCAAGAAAGGCCTTCATTAACATGAAATCAGTGTGGAGATCTACTGCACTCAGCACAAGAACAAGATCCAGATTTTCAACACTAACGTCAAGTCAGTGCTTCTATATGGTTCAGGAACTTCGCGCGTCACGAAAAGCATTTCCAACAAACTACAGACATTCATCAACAGCTGCCTGTGCTCAGTGGTGAAGATCAGACGGTGAGAATAATCAGAATAAGCAACAAGGAACTCTGGCTGGCTGGCAACGAACTAACCAAGAACCTATCGCCTAACAAATATGCAGTAGAAGAAAATGGAGATGGATTGACATACACTGAGAAAACCATTCGGAGATGTCACGCGTCAGGCTATCGAGTGGAATTCAAAGGGGAAACGATAAGTTGGGCGTCCCAGCTGAGGGTGACTTGGAGGAGATCGTGTGAGGAAGAAATGAGAGCTTGTGGGCAGTTGTGGAGCCAGGTTGAAACGACTGCAGAGAAGAGAGTCAAATGATGTGCTACTGAGGCCTTATGTTTCACTAGGAACCTAAGAGGGGAATGATAATAAATAATAAATGCCGTAAAAATTGTGTAAGCATGCGAAGTTAAAAATGTTCAAATCGATGACAATGTTTTATATAAACTGGGCCTTTACAACAGAAAGATTGGTCCTGAAACTGGCACACTCCTACCCCACGCCATATCCTTGCCGAAGATATGGGTTCACAGTCGGATTTGTCCAGAACTAACTAAAATCTCAAACGCATAAAAAGGCCGTACTTGACAGGTCTCAAGCAGACACCCCTTTGACTCTAAGGTCACGCACTAACACTGCTTTTCTAGGTACTTCGAAAAGAACTAGCTTTCCGAGGTTTAGGTAGCCGAAAAGTGTCAACCACCCTCACAATCCTGTTAGCACTCAAGTTTCCTTAAATCAACCTTCCACATCTTTACCTTCTACCCTACCTACTACCCGGTTGTACAGGCTGACAAAGGTGGGCGAAATTCAAGCGTGGTATTTGAACACCATGAAGATAAAGATTGTGATTTCGATAGTAAATATTAGTTTAAGTTGTATTAGTGTACACTTATTCTTTTTCGGATGGTCAGGTCTTTTATACCAGTAAGCGCAATCATGCCGTTTCCATGTGGAGAAAATAGATGATGAGGAAAGATCAAACTAAGAATCAATCATCTTGTTTATCGTTTCTTGGAAATCATCATAGTTATTAAAAGCTGAATGGAAACTCCAACCAAAGTATTATTGATACGTTGTCATCTCGAAGCAGGTATCTGTCAGATTCTATGATCCAGATTTTGAGTTAGCAGCTGTGGCTAGTAGATGTAAGTGGTTGACTTCCAACTAGTAGGCCAAAGGTTCGCTTTCCGGTCCACCTACAGAGGTTTGAGTACCCGGAGATATCATTAACTCTCACATTATAGGTGTCAGTTATTGCTTATTGCACAAATATGCATGTGGTTACTGTTAAGACAGATTTTCTGTATCTCATGTAATAATCGTTTCAATTCAAGGGCTACCGATGGTTCTTACAATTAGTAACGTTAAATTTCGCCAATGGAATAAACCTGGTTAGCAAAATTTTTGACGAAGATAAAACTAGTTTTCTGTTATACCAGGAAATGTACTGAGATATACAAGTACATTTTTAGGTGCAATTGTTCACAGCTGCGTGAGAAAAACTTGAAATCTGTTATGTAAACTAAAAGATCATATATAAAGAAAAAGAAGGAAATATCAACGCTGTCTACAAAGTAAGCTAGGGCGAGACTACCGCCGCTTTCGAGCAGTCTCTGAACAAACACAATTTGATAATAAAACAGTATGATGCTCATAAATAAATACAGTACACACAAACAGTAGTGAATATGATTTTGCCCAAAGTAAAGTACAAGTTTGATACAAATAATGAATAGTGGCTTGCAGTGGAATCCAATACGCATGTTTCGTCCCATTTGGGGCTCGTCAGTTACATACTCTTGTTTCCCAGTTAGTCATACTCACTGAGACTGGAATTCAATACCCGTTGCTTTAAATACTGTGATGTTGTCTACTAGGTTACTGAGTCATGAAAACCAGTCCTTATGCGATGGGTGTAGTATGGTGTTATAGCTTTTACTTCCTTGTCTTTGATTGGACCGAATTGATTGGCCACTGTTGACATATGGGCTCCTGTGCCAGTAGCCGTTAGTTTGGTACTAGTGATGAATAGTGGTTAGTAGTGGATCCTATACCTGTCGCACAAGGAGTGGCCCTCATAGTCCGGTTTCCTGTTGGGTATTTGAAGCAATGGATCCTGAGTTCGAGTCCTAATGGGAAAAAATGACCTACTGAGAAGCAGATATATTCAGCTGAAGAATTCTAAACAGGACAAAACAGGCATTTTAGAATCTACATGCCGATAGTGACCTACCAACACCATTCAATCAACAACAAAAAACTGCAAACTACAATACTGAAGTAGAAGTACCACATACAGAATATTCTAACTAAAAGGCATTTTCATATGTTTGTTATTAATTATCACCTTCAATATTTGTCTACTATCGAAATGGCATTTACAGTTACTTTTCATTTTTTTTTGTTTTCAGTGGTTTCAAAATCCTGACAGCCTACCCATTGTAGATGTAATTCTAGAATCGAAATTCGCTTCACGCTTACAATCTCATCAACGTGAAGGTGTTATTTTCTTATATAAATGCCTAATGGGTTTTCAGCCGTATGTCGCTGTGAATGAATCTATCTCAAGAAATGTTTATGGTTGTATTTTAGCGTGAGTTGAAATTGGTTTCATTTAATTGTTTTGTATAATGATAGGTATCATTCTTATTGTTTTGCTTAATTTTAAACTACAATGTTGAAATAGTGGAGAATATTTGTAGCTCAGGTGGGGATGGTCTTGGTTGTATTGTGTTTTCTGAGCTGGGTTTTTTAGTGCTGATGATGTTGTGCTAGGAATCTGCGAGGTATCTGCGGATGGAATGGAAGTGGACTCTCGAAACTGTCAACTGGAGAGTCAGTAATCTACTCCGATATTGTCACACAGACGACAACCACGAGCACAGTGAGTTATGGAGTGGCTATCATGATATCCCCTTGAAGAGCATCGAAGGCTGTCTCTCATGCAGTGGAAACTGATCTCCACCTGCAGGATCATGACAGCAAGATGGATTCAACTCGAAAGGAAGGAAAGTCACAATCATACAATGCAAGGCTACGCACCTACAAATAATGCAGATGAAGAGGATAAGGAGGAATTCTATAGACAACTGCCAATCAGTAATGGACAAGACCCCACCCCAGTTGGCGACTTAAAAAAAACAAATATACAAAAGAAAATGGGAATGGATTGGATTGAACGTACACTGAGAAGACGGTTTGGAGACATCACGCGCCAGGTCAGGCCGTCGAGTGAAAACTATGAGTTGGGCATCCCAGCTTAGGGTGACATGGAGATGGTGTGAGGAAGAAATGAAAGCTTATGGATAGTCGTGAAGCCAGGTTGGAAAGACTGCGGAGAACAGATCGAAATGGAGAAGTGCTACTGTAACCCTATATTCCACTAGGAACCCAAGGGACAAATAATAACAACAATATAATTCCAGTGGTTTAATTACTCCATTGTTAATCACGATTTCAGCATTCGAGCTCACTTCACTTACCTTGGTCTAGGTAACCATATCATCTAGTTGATCTTCATGAAGTTGTTGTCATTGTTTAAGATATGAAAATGATTGTCATTATTGTGTCAATTCTGCGTACCAGCTGTCATACCTATCAATAAATAACTTTTCATTAGTTTATTCATATTGATTTCTTTGCAATGCTTGAATCATTTTTATAGGGATGAAATGGGTCTTGGTAAAACTGTCCAAGCTATTGCTACTATATGGTTATTAATTAACAAGGACCTTATGGAGGTAGGCCAGTTATTCGACGCTGTTTGATTGTAACCCCAGGTACACTTGTACAGGTAAATCATACCTCTTTTTGTTATTTATTATTCATAAGCAGTAAAAATTTCTTTTAGCAATATATTTCTTTGTCCCCATTCTTTCATTTCCTGTGTTAGAACTGGTCAAAAGAATTTACTAAATGGTTAGGTCGTGAACGATTACCTATATATTGTGTTGATCAAACTCATTCCATTAAGGTAAGCATTTTCATGCATAACGTTATTTTTGACTGAACCATGTAGACATCAAATGCTTGTTATGTTGTATTCATCTTGGTGGCTTGCAATGGAATCTAGGACTCATGTTTCGTCATATTTGGGACTGACTGGTCATCTGGATGTATATGCACACCAATGAGGAATGTTGTTCCCACTTAGACTCAAACTCAGTACTCATCGCTTCAAATGCCAAAGGGTTGTCCATTCGGCTAGTGGGACATAGAGCCACCACTTGTCCCACGGGTATCATTTGTTTAATAATAATTATAATAATGGCTTTATTCTGAAAGCTATTCCGGGAATACTCCACAGAACTTTCAGCATATCATAAAGCATTTTAGGAATTGTCCTTATGCGAACTTGACAAACTGAGAGGCCAATCACTAGTTATTCATACTTGTAATATACCCACGAGTAAGAGACCAAGGAAGAACACAATAGCGTAGTCATATGGAATGATATATTTAAGAGATCTTACCGAAATACCGGTACATTCCGATTAGCTGGCTAAAGCATCGATTACAAGCAGTGCAACATAACATGATAGTGTGCCAAATGGCGTGGATGCTTGACCATATGCCTTTAGCTTAGCGAGTTCGATAAAACTATGAAGGTCAACATCAATATTGAATCTTGTTGAACCCTAAGCTAATTGGTCTGGGGAAGTTTGTAACTCTACAGCATCAATTGGACAGAGACAGTGTACATGTATACATAGCAAATGAATTGAGTATAAATTACATATAAAAGATAAGAATATTTACTCCATCTAAAACTTTCTTGAAAATGTGCAGTTAATTTAGGTAGACAATCATATTGGTAATTAGATTCATAATACATAAGTCGTAACATGCTCATCATCAATTAGTTTGCTTTCAAAAACAGAAGTTGATTAGTTGGTTCATTTCTAATACTTTCTTCATCGGCACAGAGACGATGAGCTGAATACTGTATTGTAGAGTTTTTATATTTTGTAGTACGTCCATAAAGTCTTATGTACTTGCTCTTAGTCTTGCAGACGATCTACGCGCAGAGAGCTTTAAGTGAAAAGGATACTAGTCATCTGATAAAATGACTCCTGCTAGGTGTTTACATAAGTTAAAGCCTATCCACAACTGTTTGTTTAACTAGAAGGTTTAAAGGTACACTACCAGCTCTGCTGACAATTTTCAAAGTTCTACACAATATAGCATAGTCTTTTTTCAGGAACCCCCATGAAAGAATAAAGGAGAACAATAGAGGAAAATAGCCAAAATGCAAGAGTTTATAAAACATAAGAGAGGAGACTGAACTATATCAAATACTCTCAACTTCCTAATATAGAAAGCTGGATGGAAAATTCTTTTGAAAATCAATAAGATATGGGAAACTATGAAAGGTTCAAAGAAAAACATACACCGAGATAAATGACACTTGTAATATTCTCCAATGCGCAACCATCAATAAAACAGGGATCATGAGAACTAAGCAGTTTACACATGATATGTTCACGCCTAAAACTAAAGGTTATGGCCTGACATTTAGAAGAATTAAGCATAAGACCATTCACAGAGGACTATCGTCTAACAATATATAGGAAATCATTCAGTTGGGAACAATCTGTTGAAGAAGAGACAGGTATGGAACTTGTTAGGTCATCGGGATATTTGATAAAATTGATACTAGCTGAAGATAGTAAGTAGTCGCTCATTGCTATATAAAGTCGAGTTACACAGTAGGATCCAGGACTCACGTTCCCCCTTAGGAGCCACCAAGATGAATACAATATATCCAGCAGTATCGAGGCATCCATGTAGAAGCCCATTTGTTAACAGAGATCAAACAATTCGACCCTGTATAGCAACGGGAAATTATAAGTATCATAACAACATCAAATATTTATTTTATTTTCATACTCATTGTTCTATTCTCCTATGATAGCCATGACAATTTCATACATTTTGCTTGTAGTGTTCATGTATACGCCGAAAATTGGGTTGTGTGGTTTAATTTTGTTTCTAGTTCTTATTCATCAACTTTTTTTATCTGGGGTTATGATGAATTTAATTTTAAGGTAGAGAAATAGGTATGTCGCTGTAATCGATGTTTTTGCATCCTCCATACAAGTCCTTATATTGCTGGTATCGAGATTGGTGAATGAGGACAAGAGGGTGGTAGAGCTGCTGATAACCATCTTCCCCTTTTGTACTGTTAATGAATGTGATAAATCAGACCGATGGTAGTGTTCTAAATTTTTCACGTCAACTGATCAGTCATGTTATTCACTGAAAACTATACTTAACCTTCAAAGTCTTTGTTAGAATAGTTCTTTTTGTTCTTTCATTAACAGTTTGTGTTTTCATCGTTTGACAGTCTTTTTTTTTTAATTATCGTCTGTTCCCAGCATAATCCTCTGAAATAAACATGCGAGCAGTAGACAGCAGACTTCAAAGCTCTCTAAAAGTTGATAATAAGTGAAGTTGTGTAACAAATATGAAATTGATGTAAATCGTGTACAACTACGTGAAGAGGAGAAGTGTGCACTACCAGGCTATGAAACTCACTTGTTGTATTGCGGCTATTAGGGATTGTTTGGTTGTTCAGACTTCAATTTTTGAATCCTTGAATTTGACTAGTTGAAAGCCTGGTGTTTAAACCACTGAACCACTGGTCCTATCGCATAACATGTGAGAATCACAGCTGGTTAGCGGTGTGGCAATTTTTTTTGTTTTACTTATCTTACAATCTGGTTCCCAGTTTGACTGGTATTCTCTGAAAAAAACTCATTCAAATTATAATCATCAAACACTTGTCACGATTTAACTCGAACTGTATGAATATAAATTTCAAAAGAGTCACTAAAATTAAGACATAATGCGTATTTAGTTCGCAGTAGTCAATGACCACTTTTTGTAGTTTTGTACCGGTTTCGATACCCTTGTAAACTTCCTATCCATTAGACTATAGAAACAGCTGAATTAGTCAAACAGTATTCGTTATAAAGCCAATGAAACCCCAACATGTGCTTTATATCTTTCTGTGTAACACAACCTTTTCTCATATCGCATTTCTCTCTCTCTTCCACTCTCAGAATAAAATTGGATTTCTTATCAACAGTCGCATATATAACCAGAGTATTTTCAGTAATGGAGTTCTTCATCTAGATTCATTTGGATGGAAATACGTACAAGTTTTCCCACTCACTAATTACTAAGACTGGTGAATTCAGGTTCTCTTGTGAAAAAACTAATCCTCATTGTTGTATGTATCGGTAAATGAGCACGACCGCAATAGCCAACGAAAAAACATCGGACACCGAGTATCTATCAGTCCGTCAGGATAATAAGTCTACTATGCTTTATAGTAATGATGGATAGTGGCTAGCACTGGAATCTAAGATGCACGTTTCGTCCTATTTGAGGTTCGTCAGCTGGGTGTACCTGCCTCCCAGTAAACACCGTCATTATGAGGTTCTAAGATATAGAGCTTTCAACATGTTAGAAAACCTCTTAGGGATAGTTCTCTTTAATAGACAATTCCAAAGTACAGCCTTTTCCAACTAGTCGAGAGCAGTTTTAATTTCGAAAAATGCAACAATTGTAAGCCTGGATCATGTGTGGCAGTTTCCAGACATCTGACTAAGGATTAAACCGTGATCAATTCATCTATGAAGTGAAGGAAGCAGCAAGTGAAAATTTAGATAGGGTAACGATTTTCAGCAGTAGGCGATGCCAAGTGAGAAGCGTCTCTGAGTCATTCCTGTCAAACGGAAAAGAAGTGTGTTTCAGTATGGGAAGCATAACAGTTGTGTGAATGACGTTTCTCCAGTGCACAGATGTCGAAGTCACAGAGTATTTATATAACAGCAAGCATACGGACTAATCATTGACCTTGAATGAGCAAGAAAAATAGCTGTAGTGGTTTTCCAGTGAATAATACTGGTTGTATGTCGGTGAAGGATAGAAAATGTTTTCTAAAAATAGTCACAGGGGAGAATTTACTAGTTGGTATTCTGAAGTTCATATCTGAATGCACAAAATGTCTTGTGTTAGTAGTCGTTGTCGGTGTCCTGTATCAGGAGAAATACACTTACAAGCATATGTAATCGAGTTTTAGCGGGACGACAGTTGTCAGTTATCAAACTACCTGCCTATTAACATCGGGTCGGCTATTCGTTAGTCACTGGTTGGAATCCTGACGTCAGTCTGCTGTTTTCTAAAACCAGTCATCATAGTGTTACAGGATTGTGATTAACGTTGTTGCATCACTTCCTCGCTTGTCGCTTTAGACAATTGCACTCCAGTATTTTGGCAATAGCAAGTGACTGGATGTTTAAACTTCCAAATGAAGCATGCCTGTTGGTTTTATATCACGTGTTATGAATTAACATGACAGGGTCTTGAAGCAACCCTAGTGCTGAATAGTCACAGGTCATGACTACCCATGAAATGTTGGTCTCATTGTGTACCTGAGGTTGCTGACGCATAGACCGATCTACATACTATCGGAATGACATTCTTGTTATGAGAAAGTATACTTTTGGGGTGAGAACAGAAAAGTTTACATCACGACTTTATGTGTGACCTTCTGCTAGATCTAGAAAATGGCTTCACCTTTGTTGGAGAATAAGGTTATTTCTCAGGTGACTACTGTATGACAATTAGTAGTACTTTAGTTTTATATTATTTTCCATTACCACTTTTTCCCATGATGAGATTTATCCAACCTTATTATTGGTCCGACAAATGAATCTACTGACAGTCAGATTGTTCTGATGAAACAGTGAGCAGACGTAGTCTATCTGAAAAGTGTGATTTACTAGTGTAATACATTTCGAGAAATCTGGTCACATAAGCAGTCGTGTTTATTGGCTTACATGTATGTGTGGTGACACTTACATAGAAAGGACTCGTTGATCTGTTGAGGTAGAACCCACAGGATACATTGGAAAATAGCTGCAACAGCAAATCAAATTGAATGATGCCATTCACTAAGGTGAAAGATGTCCAACATCATCTACAGCTAGACATATGATTGAAACAGTTTGCAAGTATGATTTCTGTACATATTTCGAACCTATTTACAAAAACTTAGTGGAGATAAATCCATGAGTTTGTTGAAACTCTAGGTATAAAGAAGTTTCGACCTGTTTTATGTATTCATGAAGAATTTGTTCTTACATTATACCTCTCTTGTTAAATCAGGTTTATCGTGGGGGGTGATTAACAAACTGTAATCCTCTTCTTGTCTAAACTAACCATTCAACCTTGCATTAAGTGAATTATGCTTAAACTCATTCAGATAAATATGTATGTACGTGTGATCAGATTGTTCATCGTCATCAAGATCAACATAGGACCAAACATGACCGCCTAACGGTCCGAGTTGCCACATTTCACACCAGCACATCAAGTAACAAGGCAATAAAGTGGAGGATGAAGAAAGAAAAATTTTTCAGATTAAGTAGAAGTTGAAAGTAGTAAAAGAGAGGACGGAAGAATGAGAAAATGACGACATCAAGTATAGCGGTTAAAATGAGGACATCGATTCTGAGCCATGAAACACCACCTAGAATCTCCAACCACTGGTTTCTCTTGTCCCGGAGACCGGCTAGTCTGCATCGTCCCACATGGCTCAAACGAAAAGTCAGCAGCTCCATGCATTTGATGCCATAATTTAGTCTGGCCACCTGAGCCCTTTTCAAGCCTGAACCTATTCGACCAACATTATGTGACGAGGCAGACGGTGGTTAGGCTTACATGACACATGTCCCAGCCGTCTCAATCGACGGTGGTTCAGAATCGCATCAACTGTCTTACTTCTCCTCTCCAAAACTCGACACCTAACTTTTCTGTGTTACTCGTGGTGACACCATGAAACACGTTCTATGCTACGAAGGCAGTGGTGATCAAACACCTGAAGCCTTCTTATGTCTTCTACTTTTATTGCCTATGTTTCACACCCTTACAGTAGAACGGAGCGGACTGTAGCACGCAGTACACTCGACAATCTGACTTCACGACTGCCACAGACGACGTAAGTTGACAAAAGCCAACCGAGACTTTTGTGTCTGTTCAGAGATGTGGTCAGCCACTGAGCTAGCTACCACGGCTGATCTAACTACCTAGGTAAGTGTAGTGTTTAAGGCGCACAACCACTCTACTCTCTGTTATTATCCGGGGCATCGTTAAAGGCCAGTCCTGGAACAAACAATTTGGACTTATGTGGCGAGAAACACATTCCAGACATTTTCAAATTGCCATTCAAGGTATTCAGCAGACTCTGCACCTTATCAGCATCTTTATAACAGGTTTCAGGTAAGTTAAGTCTTCTTCTTGTCCTCTTGAAATTTATACTAGAGGCTATCTATTTTGAATTTTACATCTACCTTGATCACTTTTTACTACTCCTTATCTTATCGTGGAGTAGAGTGACACTTTAAATTTGGTTCTGTTTATTGATTGTTTTTCCTCGATGCTTCATAGAGTGATTATGTAAAGCAATGAAGCATTGTATGACTCCGTTTATATTAACTTTTCAGAATTATTTAACAACTAAAAACCCACCTCAGATTATTCTCATGTCCTATGAAATGTTTCTACAGCATTCTAGTGAGGTATACACAATTTCTGATTTGGATATGGTTGTATGCGATGAAGGGCATAGATTGAAAAATTCAAATATCAATACAACAATGGTATGTTTGTTTTAAAAAGAATTCATATATTTATTGATTTAAACAATGTAACGCTTAATGAAATATTCTACATCTATGATGGAGTTATAATTTTTTCAAGGTTAAACTTATACATACAGCTGTACTACAGTATTCAATGGATGCTTGTTTTGGAAAGCTGTGTACAGGCAACTCACTGATTATTATTATTATTATCATTATTAGTCCCTTGGGTTCCTAGTGGAACATAGGGCTTCAGTAGCACGCCTCCAGTGACCTCTGTTCTCTGAGATCTTTTGAACCTGGTCCCACGACAGCCCAGAAGCTCTCATTTCCTCTTCGCACGACCTCCTCCATGTCACCCTCAGATGGGACGTCCAACTCGTCGCTTCCCATGGGGATTCCACTCGAGTACCTGGCCTGACGCGTGATGTCCTCAGTCGGCCTTCTCAGTGCATGGCCAATCCATCTCCACTTCTTCCTGCATACTTGTTGAGTGATAGGTTCTTGGTTGGTTCGTTCGCAGAGTTCCTTGCTGCTTATTCTTTCTGGCCATCTGATCTTCAGCAGTGAGCCAGCGTAAGCAGTTGTTGATGAATGTCTGTAGTTTATTGGAAATCCCTTTCGTAACGCGCCAAGTCTCTGAACCATACAGGAGCACTGACTTGACGTTGGTGTTGAAAATCCGTATCTTGTTCCGCATGCTGAGTGCAGAAGATCTCCATACTGGTTTCAGGCTAATGAACGCCTGTCTTGCTTTTCCGATTCTGACTTTGACGTCCTCGTCCGTCCCGCCTGTAGTTGAAACAGTGCTTCCTAGATAAGTGAAGGAGGTTACTTCCTTCAAGTTTCTCCCGCTGACGGTGATTGGAGTTTGGTGTTGTTGTTGATGGTGGTGGTGCGGTATCTTCATCACTTCTGTCTTCTCTATATTCACCTGAAGTCCCGTCTTCGCTGCCTCTTCTATCAACTTGTTAGTTTTTGCCTGCAGATCTTCAGGTTTGTGTGACATTAGGCACAAGTCATCGGCGAAATCCAAGTCTTCTAGGTTCTTTTCCGCAGTCCAGCGTATCCCCCTCTTCTCGCTGCCTACTGTTTGCTGCATGATCCAGTCCACCACAATAAGGAATATCATGGGGGATAGTAGGCAACCTTGTTTCACTTCTGTCTTCACTTCAAAAGCATCACTGAGCTGTTCCCATTGTGAATTACTTGGCATGTGGCATCTTCATATAGTTGTTGGATGAGGCGGATAAAGGTTTGCGGTACTCCGTAGTATTGAAGCAGTTTCCAAATTACTTCTCGGTCGACGCTGTCAAAGGCCTTCTCAAAGTCGATGAAGTTGAGGCAGAGAGCTGATTGCCATTCTATGCTCTGTTCTATGATGATACGAAGCGTTGCAATTCGGTCTGCACATGATTTGTACTTCCTGAAGCCTGCCTGTTCCGATCGCAGTTTTGAATCCAGTGCATCTTTAAGCCTCTCCAGGATGATGCGGCATAATATTTTACTTGGGGTGGACAGGAGAGTGATTCCTCGCCAGTTGTTGCAAGCACTGAGGTCTCCCTTCTTCGGCAGTTTGACAAGGTAACCCTTTTTCCAATCGTCAGGTACCTTCTCTTCCTTCCACACCTTCTGTAATAGTGGTGTGAGCATGTCCGCTGTTGTCTCTGCATCTGTTCTCAGTGCTTCTGGCGGTATTCCATCTGGTCCTGCTGCTTTCCCGCATTTCAGTAGCTTTATGGCGTTCAGGACTTCCATTTTCGTTGGGGGATTAATGTTCACTTGTAGTTCAGCGGCTGCAGGTGGTATTTCTGGACGAAGTGCAGGTGGTGGTCGATTCAAGAGCTTCTTGAAGTGGTCGGCCCATCGTTTCCTCTGTTTCTCTTCTTTTGTAATTAAATTTCCTTCTTCGTCTTTTATTGGTTTCATCTGTGTTGGTCTCTTCCCTGATAGCAACCTGGTTATTTGATACAATGTCGTCAGGTCTCTCTTACCTGCAGCCTGTTCTGCTTCACTTGCCAGTGTTTCGTAGAAGTGTCTTTTGTCTTTGCGTGCACTCTTCTTCACTTCTTTATCCAGTGTTTTATACATTGTGCTCAGTTCCTCTTGTCGTTGAGTATCTTTGCACTGGTTTATCTTCTGCTTCACCATCCTCCTCTCCTCTATCAGCTTCCAGGTATCCATCGAGATCCATTCCTTGTCTTCTTTCTTCTTCCTTCCTAATACTGTTGTGCAGGTTTCTTTCCACATAGCTTTCAAAGACTTCCAGTGTTCTTCCACACAGGTTTCTTCAGGGATGTTGCTCGATGTCTCCCATTTTGTCTTGATGGCTGCCTTGAAGATCTCCTTTGTAGTTTCATCCTTCAGTTTCCGAGTGTTGTACTTGAATTGAGGTCTATCACCAGCTTCCTTGAAGGCTTTCAACTTGGTTTGGAAGGTTCCTTGCACTAGACAGTGGTGGTGTGAACCTACATCTGCTCCTCTTCTTGACCTTGTGTTAAGTAGACTGAGTCTCCATTTTCTTGAGATTGAGATAAAGTCGATTTGATTTTTAGTGTGTCCATCTGGTGAAATCCATGTCGCTTTGTGGATATCCTTGTGCCTGAACACACTGCCTCCAATCACCAAATCGTTGAATGCGCAGAATTCTGCAAACAATTCTCCATTCTCATTTATTTCACCTAGCGCCTCTCGACCCATGGTTAGTTCTCTTCCTAAGTTGTCCCCTCCCAGTTTGGCATTCATGTCGCCCATTAGAATTTTGATATCGCCAACTGGCGTCTTGTCCAGTGTTGATTGAAGTTGTCTGTAGAAATCCTCCTTTTTCTCTTGCTCTGCATTATTTGTAGGTGCATAACATTGTATGATTGTGACCTTTCTTCCTTCTTCTTCCTGATATAGATTGTTATTCGGAATTTTACGTAGGGGAGTACGAATTTTTTAAAAGTTGGTATTCATCATGGACTTTAGTCAGTTGAAGGAAGGTTGGAAACCTGGGAGTAGTGGACAGCTGTTTCGTTCTAGTATGAGATTTTTCAGCAGTGCGCACCCATGACCCCGCCCCGCCAGGGATCGAACTCGGGACCTTCAGGTTACCGTTAAACCACTGGGTGGCAATCCAGTGGTCCATATTTTCAACTGCTATCAGTTCACGACATAGCGCGATCATTCTCACATCCTCACCGCCTCCAGGTTTACCCCACCGATCAAATACCCAGCGATGACATTGGGTGATGGTCCTACGAATGTGGAATATTGCCTTCAGATCCCAATCACATTGTAAATTATTTCAGCTTTTAATCTTGAGGAGTTCTAACCAACCCTTCTGATATGTTAGAGGTCTCAGGAGACGAGTGTTCCTGAAGGTAGAACTGTAGTATATCACAATGATGGTTAAACCTAGTTGCCACTTCAAAGTATCAGGTGTAAGTGAAGCAAGTGCTTCGGAATTAAAGTTGCCTGTTCACTGCGTATGTATCTAAATCAGTGAAGCACAGCCCCCTGTTTTATAATGTCTGAAAGATAAATTTCAGTCACAGAGTAATACAAATGGAAAGAGCAAGCGACAGTTTTGTACGTGGCAATCGTCTTTAACCAGTATCACGGGTTCAAACGTCGCCCCAGCTACCGAGGTTTATTCAACCAGCAGGTAATATTCAAGGAAACGAGAAGACGGAAACAAAGGAATAAAGGATTGTTTATTATTGACACCTTGTACAGTAGTCATCAGATATGGTACACCCTTACATTAAGATAGTCATTTAAATAATATGCTTCATTTCCTCTTCCGCTTCTACCTTGCTTTGCTCTTAATACGCTCACATTATCTCTTGTGTTTTTCTGGGCACATTCCTTACACATTGCTGGTAATTCCCTATGATTTCTGCCGCTCTCTCAACACATACTACTGATATCCATTCTTATCAGCGACGCTCGCTACAATATCAGTAAGCGTGACACTATAAGTGTGGTTCATTGCATACTGAGTGAACGTGCACAAAATTGCTGCTAGCCTTCAAATTTATCGTTTTATCACTCTGAAATTCAGTGTACAAAGTGTACTATCAGTTCATACAAATATTTTTTGATTATCATTTATGCTTTTTAAATCTATGTCTCCTTTTTTTTCACAATTTTTTTAGACACTTTGCCAATTATGCGCTAGTAGAAGATTACTGTTAACTGGAACTCCATTACAAAATCATTTGAATGAATTATGGTCATTGGCTAATTTCTGTGTACCAGGACGTTTAACATCAAGTTTGGAGGAGTTTCGTCGTCAATTTGTCATTCCATTATTGAATAGTCGTAAATCACAATATCGAAAAAGCACTGATACTACTCACAAAATTTGTCATGATGATGTTGACGATGATGATAATGATGATTTTTGGAATCCTCCTATTGATGATTACAATGACATTGATGACTTAGAAAGTCCATCGGCAAAATTAATTCGATTGTTAAATAGCTTTTTCCTACGACGTACATGTGAAGTTATTGCACCGAAGTTAACTGATAAAAGTAAGTGTTCGCTTGTTGTTTTATGTTATGCTTTGATGACTTTGTCATGAAATATTCCAATGCCTACTATTGCGAATTAGAATACTGACAAGAGGTTAAGTAGAGCATATAGAGAGAAAACTGAGGTTGGTAAGACTAAATTAGAGAAACATTCTGTAAAGTATTTCTTTATGTGACGGTAAGGTAATAGAAGACATATTGTAACGTCAAAATATGTGAAACATACAATGATTAGTAAATGTTTACATTGACCTTAACTTTTCACAGGTTTTTCTAGAAGGCCATTATGTATTAGTTTTACCACCTTTACGAGTATGATATTTACACGTGTGATCACTTGTCTTCTCTTAAAAGTTTGTAGTTTAGTGGTTCTAAGGGTGTGATGGGTTGGAATCGATCTCATTCCTCCTTCTCTTTCTATGATTTTCTAGCTCTTTTAATTAGTTCCCTCTTTATTTCTTTATTGTTGATCTTAGTATGCTTTATAACTTGAAGTGCTGATATGAGTCGTGAAAACATGAACTATCATGAAATACTGACTGACTAAGTTGCAAGCTTCCAATTTTTTAATACATATGTCTCTCCAAAAGTTGTTTATCGTCGTACTATGTGGTGTTACGTTTAGTGTTGTTTGCACGAGATGAGACCAACTAAAGTACCAATTAAAACTGCATCTGTTATGCCTTCGATTGGTCTCAAACACTGACTATCCCAGTCTTCAAGAAAAGCAAGAAGTCCTCTTGGGAAAACCTCAAAGGAATCAGCCTGATGAATACAAAGCCTGATATTCTAAGTTCTATAGACATTAGAAACCAGAAAAGAGCTCGAGAACAAGAAGCCCGAGGAAACTAGGCAAGCTTCAGACCTTGCTGTGGGTGTATCGACCAGATATTCACACTCCTACAGGTTGTGGAACACAGACACGCTTACTGACTCCAAACAAAAGCTGTATTTCTTGACCTGAAGGTGGCATTCAACTCCGTCGATCGAGAAGTCTTATGGCAATGTCACTCACTGAAGGAGGTACCAGGTTAGTACACCACCTTATTGAAGGCTTTATACTCGAGAACGTGTGGGCGCATTAATACCTATGGTGAGATCTCGTATGAGCTATGTACGTCGAATGGTGTCCGTCAAGAATTTCCACGCTCCATTCTTATTCAATTTCATCATAAACGCTCTTATACAGGTCTCTTCCTCATATCTGACCACACAGACGTTGGCCTAATCACAGGAGAAATTTCAGTAGACATAGAATACTTAGATGACATAGTCTTCTTAGGTGAAGACGCTAGACACTTTGAGTGGGCATTTGAGAATGTTTGGAATGCGTTTCTCGTCACACAAACTATTCCTTCAGGACTGGTTTTCAACGATGCCCCAGCTAATAATAGACAGTGAAGCGGTTGAGCACGTTGAACGCTTAACTTACCTAGCAAGTTGGATCAACTCTGGTAGCTAGCTCAGTGGCCGAACACATCTCTGCATAGATACCAAAGACTCGATTGGATTTTATCAACTTACGTCATCTGTGGCACAGCCACGATATCCAATTGTCTAGTAAGAGTAGAGTGCACTATGCTTCAATCCACCCTCCTCTACTGGAAGGCTGTGAGACATGACCCTTAAAGTTAGAAGACATGAAAAGGCCTCAGGTGTTTGACCATCACTGCTTTCGTAGCATTGAACGTGTTTTGTGGTGTCATCAAGTAGGTAACACAAACGTCAGATGCAGAGTTTTGGAGAGGAGAGGTAAAACAATTGATGCGATTGTGAACCTTCATCGATTGAGATGGCTGAGACATGTGTTACGCATGCCTAACCACCGTTTGCCTCGTCACGCAATGTTAGCTGAAATAAGTTCAGGCTAGAAAAGGTCTCCGGGTGGCCAAACTAAATCATGGCCCTGATGCATCGAGCTGCTGACTGTTGGTTTGAGCCATGTAGGGCGATGCAGACTAGCTTGGTTGGGGTTCGTGGGATAGGAGAAACTAGTGGGTGATGTATAATGGTTCAGAATCGATATTAGTGGCGCAATGTATACACACGTTTACCTCATCTTGACCACCATACTTAATCTCATCATTTTCTCACTCCATCTTCCTCTCTTTTACTACTTTCTACTTCTACTTCCATTTTCTTTGACCGATTTTTCTTTCTTTCTTCATCTTCCATTCAATTGTATTGTTACTTGACATGTTGATATGAGATGTGGCAACTTGAATCGTTTCGCAGTAACGCCCGGTCCTATGTTTATCTTGGTGATGCTGATGATGAATGCCTTATCACGAGTTCCTAAAGTAATTTCGCATAGTTTTAATATATCGTGCCGGTTGTATACCTAATGGTTTTGATCTACGTCTTATTTACAGCTGAACATATTGTATTCTGTCGTCCGAGTAAATTGCAAACAGATTTGGAATTGATGCTGACACAATGGATGAGTAGAGAGTTTAATATAAGGCGAGATGAGTCTGTAAACTTGGAAGAAGAAGAAGAGGATGAGGATTTCGATGAAGCCATTGAAGATACTTTCACTTTTCCCTCATCATTGTCATCAAAACGTCATAATTTTATCCTTTCAATTATAACAGCTTTTCGAAAACTACACAATCACCCATATTTACTGGAAAGATATCTAGTACAATCAAATTCAGCACAGAATCATGCAGATAGTCGTGTAAGTTATGCATAATAATAATAATAATAATAAATCTGTGAATTTTCTCACAAAGGCCAATTTTCTTCAGGATATCAGTCATTGGTAAATACCCGGAGTATAGGTTACAACTGTGGAGGGACTGTTGTGGATTTTGCTGAAATTCACTGGCAGATTGTTCTACACTATGGTTCGTAACGTGACCAAGTGATAATCTCTAAAAGTACACCGATTATTGATAGCTACTGAAGTCGTAACGATCTTTAAACCCTCGAGGTTTAATACTGATTATCGTATTATTTTTTTTCTTTGTCTTGCTGACTTCCACTTTGATGTACTAATGTTCTACTATGGTAGCTTGAACTGATACATGAATATGCATGAGCTTATTTTTCTAATACATCTATCTTTTAGACTTTCAGACCAAACGAATATCTGCTCTTAGAAAACCTAACAAATAACTTATTTTTAAGGTTGTATTCATCATGAGCTGACATTTGGGGGAATCATTTAAAACCTGAGAGCGCTTGCCAGTTGTTTCGTCCTAGTATGGGACTCTTCAGCAGTACGCACCAACAACCTCGCTAAGGATTGAACCTAGGACCCTCAGGTTGTACAGCTAACTGATGTCAGTTTCATGATGAATACAATCTTAAAAATAAAATCTCAAACTAAACAACTTATCAACTGGATGTACCTGCTTCCCAGTGAGTGATGTTGTTCCTACCAGGACTCAGGAGTGATCCCTTCAAACGCCAGAGCGTTATCCACTACACCATCCAGCCACGATAGCCACTTTCTTGTACAACTGGTATAGTTCTTAGTATGATTGTTTTTATATCATGGCGACGAAACGCATATCCTGGATTCCACTGCTGGCCACTATCCATCATTACAACCATTAGAGCACCGGTAATATCGAGGCGTCCGCACAGGATCCCATATGCCAATAGAGACCGATCAATTCGGTCCAATCAACGACGGTATGATATAAGAACAATTATACTTAAAAGCTTATCATTCAGTAAAATCTAAAAGACCGACAAGATGAGAAAACCATTAGAATGGACTAAAAAGAGATATGATAAAAAAAGGAGCAGCAAAACAGATCTAAAAAAAATATATTCATGATATAAAACAAGGCAAAAGGTGATAATTATTTGGTTGTTCTCTGAGCTTTGTGAATCGTTCGCGGATGTTTCGTCATCTGGTTAGGTGACTTCATCAGCACTTACTGCATAAAAAAAATTGAAGTCATGTAGCTTGATGATGAAACGTCTAACAGCGAACTTCAAAACTTGGGGAAGAAACTGTTCTCACCTATTACTATCCGACGGTATAAATCTTCTCTACTCGAAGTTTGTTGTATTTCAGCCTTTGTCATAGATGTTTAACCATTGCTGGCAAGTCTTCTCAATAATTATTTCTTGTTATTTTGCACACAAGTGCATCTACCAGTTCAAGTTACCACACTTCAAAGTTGTATACAACGAAAATGTGAATAGAAAAAGAATGATATCTAAGTCATTACCAAGATAAACTATAGAACCGGGCGTTACTGCATAACGATTCAAGTTGCCACATCTCGTATCAACACGTCAAGTAACAATACAATTGAATAGAAGATGAGGAAGGAAAGAAAAATCGGTCAAAGAAAATGGAAGTAGAAGTAGAAAGTAGTAAAAGAGAGGAAGATAGAATGAGAAAATGATGAGATTAAGTATGGTGGTCAAGATGAGGTAAATGTATGTATACCTCTGCGCCACATTTTGTTATTTTCTTTATCCCCCTTTCGTTACTCTTGTTTTTTATTATCCTCTGATGAGTTTTGATTACATTTCACATCTCTGTCTGTCTCACCTCGTTTCACCTTGTATATTGGCCTGTGGTGTATGGTATATTGTACTGGTAAGCGGTATTGATAAGTTTCATGTTAACAGTGATTGGCCGTTTAAGTGAAACTTACCAATGGTAACTTACCTGTTTAATCCATCGTGAAGAGCTTCGAAAATAGAACTGTATGCATTAGTCATATCCTCACATTGTTCGATTTTCAGACCATCCATGTCAACGTGCAGTCAGATTGAAAGAAGGCTTAGAGTGACCAGACCAGAACATGGCACCCGTCGATGAAGTCCATGGCTATTGGTCTGAACCCTGTTGGGAAATGTGTATTGTCTGGCTGGTTGAAAATTGGTCACAATGACGCAGGTGTATTCAGTGCTTGACATCCCCTAATGCGTGAACATTTTTACTAACTTTTGTCTTCAAGTAGTTTCTCCTACTATACATCTCTGTCTACTTTGATGTCAGTCTTTTTCTGTTCACTTTTTCTTTGTATACTACTGTGAAGTGTGGCAACTTGAACAGTTGAATGCGCTTATGTGCAAGGTTGTACGTTGATTTTTTCTGTCTATGTATCTAGTTTTCTCTCTGCAGTGTTTCTAAAAACTCTGGGAACGAACCAACCAAGAACCTATCACCCAACAAATATCCACTGGAAGGAAGTGGAGATGGATTGGACATACACTAAGAAGGCCGACTCGGGACATCACGCCTCAGGTCAGGCACTCGAGTGGAACCCCGATGGGAAGCGACGAGTTTGGCGTCCGAGGTGAGGGTGAGGGTGACATGGAGGAGATCATGTGAGAAAGAAATGAGAGTTTGTGGACTATCGTGGAGCCAGGTTGAAAAGTTTGCAGAGAAGAGAGTGAAGTGGAATGGAGACGTGCTAGTGAAGCCGTATGTTCCATTAGGAACCCAAGGGACAAATAAATAATAATAATAATAATAATAATAATAATAAGGTGTTTCTAAGGCCAAAGTGAATTATGAATAAACCAGATTATATTTGTCAAGATATCTTTGTGTTCAACTAGTTCACTCTGTATATTTTGATTAGGCCTATATACAAACCAGTTATAGGTTATCAGTTATCCTTCTTCATAAATTAACTACTTTTTTCATTTTCTTAATATAGTTACCTTCAAAATTGACTGCAGATTTACTAGAGTTGTTAAACTCTTCATATTCAACTATAAAAGATGTTTGTCATAAGAATTTGAATGATTTCGTTGAATTATCAGGAAAGTTCAGTATTCTTTACATTATGCTAAAACGTTTGTTCATAAACAATTCATCTCTATCATCATCAATCAATCAATCACAATTACACAAACGACCTCGGTTAAATAAGAATAACTTGAGTAATAACAATAACAATGTACATGTGAAAGATCGTCTTATCCTAGTATCTAATTTTACTCAGGTAAGTATTTTTATTTTTATTTTCTTACGGTAAAGGCTTACTAGATTTTTATTGATTCTTGAAGTGAAAGTTCATTGTAAAGCTTTCCCCCCCCCCCCCCTGTTTAGTATCATCAAGTACTTACTATACTTTCACATTATCGAAATTGGCCGAGTTGCGTTCACTGTACCCTTTATGTAGCTGTAACTCATTGGTTTAGGGTTCAAGTCCAGCTTCATGTACTGAGGTTTGGACAACCGGGTAGTACCATTGGCTTTCACACAATAGATGTGTGGCTCATCATTGCCTAGTGAAAGAGTATGCACAATGTTGTTGAGTGCATACATTTTTATTTATTACTGTGCTGTGTAGTCAGTGTTGGCCAACATCATTGGCAAATCTAAATCTTGTGTAACCTGCATGTATTATTAGACTGTTATAACGGTCTAATCCAGGGGGGGGGGGAAGGCAGTCGTGCCCTATGCAGTTTAGTGGCAACGTTTATCACTGTCACTGAATGATAGAGCGTTGGATTATCGAGGTAACACCAATTTCTTCTTGTTTGCTGATTAGCGACAATAAACACGAGATGTAAATCAAGAAGGACTTGTTGATTGATTTTCATCATCCCTCCCGCCTCCCTTTTTTAAGATTTTCCAACTAGTGCTCTTACGCAACTGAATAATACACGTACAATATATACATATATATACACACACACAGAGTTACAAATACACAAAAATATTATTTAGGCTACAAAATGAGTGAAATAGTTAGCGATTAATTGTCGATTACTTTTCAACAGTGAAACATGTAACAACGATTAATTGGTCTAAAGATAGCCTGTAAAAATGATCAAAGAACTTCTGAATAAATTATTTTTAAGAAAAGTATTGAAAGAAGGCCAAATTTTAGGTCTTCCTTTCTTTTCTCCCTTATAATATCGAGTCAAAATATAGTCTGATGGATGAAAATAAATTTTACCTTTGTTGGATTTTGTGTGTGCCAGGCATACGATCTTACTAAAGTGGTAAGACGATTAACTAACGGTTTTCAACCTTGTAGAAGATACTTGGATAAAAAATATAGACTTTATTTCTTAAAAAATGATTTTAAACTATCTGTTTTTTAACTGTTGCGTAAACCCCGAAGATAACTTCAATATCATCCTATCCAGTTCACCTTCACCTTGGGATATTTGTGTGCACAGTTAGGATGTCTTGGTAGTTCACATTTTGAAGCAGACCAGTGGGATCAGTCAATACATAGGACGACACGGCTCAAGTTAGCTTAACCGTATTAATCGACACAAAATCGCAGCTGATTGACAATCTCTACCTAGTACAACACACTTAATCTCAACTTTGAGCACAGTCACGCGCATATTCATTCATTCATTCATTCATTGATACCCGCCTATTATGTGTGTGGCTGCCGAAACCTTGAGTGGAATGAGATTCGAACCCTTAACCTACTGATCGGGAGTTAAATGTCTTTATCACACACAAAAGCTATTGGGTATTATATTTACTCTTTGGAATACGATTTACTTATGCCTTCAGACATTAGAGTGAAAGTATCACCATTCAGGCTATCAGACCAGATTTCGCTGAATGACATTTCTGAACAAAGTCACAGGTTTTTGTACTAACGCGTTGACATGTTATACTTGCCAGCGATCATATGGATTTGTACGATCATACTTTGATTTCTTCAATAATCAACCAACGGTGGGGCACCCCCTACTTTTTTCATATGTTTAATTTCTCCAGTGATGCGAATTTATACTTCATTACATTGGCATATTTCAGACTCTTGATCTTCTAGAGAAGTTATGTAATCTAGTCACTGGGACATCATGTCTCAGATTAGACGGTCAAACAACAAATAAACAACGTGGTGAAATTGTTCAAAGAATTAATGATCCAAAATCTAATGATTGTAAGTGATTGTAAGTAAGTGTGTTTTCAATGAGATTTAATGAATTAACTGACTAACCCACTCTGTGATTAGAGCAAAAATGTTGCTTGAAATTTATGATGCTTAGAAATCTTTTCTCTGTTTTGTGAATGAGAATCATAAATTCATGTTTGTATTTTGTGTTGACGGGTGTAATTTAGAAGGATTGGTGTAACATTGAATTTTTCCGCCTGTGAATTTCTTTTCCAAGAAATTCGGAACCAAAACGACTTCTCAACAAGAAAAGCAACCAAACATTCGAGTTACGCGTAAAATCCAACACACAAGATTCGTCTGAAATACAGCTCTATATTAATAAACAATATTGAGTAGTAAAATACGAAACCTTGAGTCGTGAAGTGTCTGTGGGTTTATCTCTATCAGAGCACTTGCAAAGAGTACGTTAACAGTAAAAAAAAAGCAAGACCTGTATCCAAGCAGCCAGAAGGGAATATATAAGTTGTGCGTTAGTTCTCACGATGAGGTGAAGACTCAGGATAAACTAATGTTCAAAGAAAGAAATTGCAAGAACATTATGAACTATGAAAGATACTCATATCTATGGATTTTAAGTGATGGTCAAGATACAAAGGAACAGAATAGACAGTGAAGACTACTGGCGCAGGAACTTTATAAGGGAATATGAACTATACTACTCAAAAATATTGAGTAGTATAAAACTGGAGATAAAAAAGGAGTAAGGGGAGCATCCCATTGGGTAAACGAGAATAGGACAGGAATTCACACCGCCTATATTATTTCCTTGGTAGGATTAATACTTTAAATAATTCAGCTATATCATTCCTAGTCTTGTCGGCACCTTTCAGTAGATTTCATCCTCTGCTAGTGATTATTGAACCTCGCCTGGTTAACTAGTTTACTAGTTACTAGCCGGTCCTAAGCCCGGGTAAAGAGGGAAGGTTGGGCATAGGGCTAGCAACCCTACCCCGTAAAACAAATCTAACCGCTAAACAAACTTCAAAGCACAAACAAAATATAAAAAATGAAAACAAACTTATACCCCGCTGAAATCGGAGAGGCTAAATGACGCCAGTTGGTGAAAGCCTTCAGGAAGCCAATTGGCCGATGTGTCTTCTCTCGATGAAAGCGAAAGTAAACGTGGGGACATGGAATGTCCGCACGATGTTTGAACCCAGTAAGGCAGCCCAGATTGCAAAGGAGATGAGAAGGTATCACATCGAAGTGCTTGGGATTTGCGAAAGCAGATGGAATGGGAGTGGACTCTCCAAACTGTCAACTGGAGAATCAATAATCTACTCCGGTCACCCAGACGCCAACCACGAGCACACTGAGGGAGTGGCTATCATGATGTCCTCAAGAGCATCGAAGGCTCTCATGCAGTGGGAACCAATCTCCTCCTGCAGGATCATGACAGCAAGATTCAACTCAAGAGGAAGAAAGGTCACAATCATACAATGTTATGCACCTACAAATAATGCAGAGCAAGAGAAAAAGGAGGATTTCTACAGACAACTTGAATCAACACTGGACAAGACGTCAGTTGGCGATATCAAAATTCTGATGGGCGACATGAATGCCAAACTGGGAGGGGACAACTTAGGAAGAGAACTAACCATGGGTCGAGAGGCGCTAGGTGAAATAAATGAGAATGGAGAATTGTTTGCAGAATTCTGTGCATTCAACGATTTGGTGATTGGAGGCAGTGTGTTCAGGCACAAGGATATCCACGAAGCGACATGGATTTCACCAGATGGACACACTAAAAATCAAATCGACTTTATCTCAATCTCAAGAAAATGGAGACTCAGTCTACTTAACACAAGGTCAAGAAGAGGAGCAGATGTAGGTTCACACCACTCACTGTCTAGTGCAAGGAACCTTCCAAATCAAGTTAAAAGCCTTCAAGGAAGCTGGTGATAGACCACACTTCAAGTACAACACTCGGAAACTGAAGGATGAAACTACAAAGGAGATCTTCACGGCAGCCATCAAGACAAAATGGGAGACATCGAGCAACATCCCTGAAGAAACCTGTGTGGAAGAACACTGGAAGTCTTTGAAAGGGATGTGTAAAGAAACCTGCACAACAGTATTAGGGAGGAAGAAGAAAGAAGACAAGGAATGGATCTCGACGGATACCTGGAAGCTGATAGAGGAGAGGAGGATGGTGAAACAGAAGATAAACCAGTGCAAGGATGCTCAGCGACAAGAGGAACTGAGCACAATGTATAAAACACTGGATAAAGAAGTGAAGAAGAGTGCACGCAAAGACAAAAGACACTTCTACGAAACACTGGCAAGTGAAGCAGAACAGGCTGCAGGTAAGAGAGACCTGACGACATTGTATCAAATAACCAGGTTGCTATCAGGGAAGAGACCAACACAGATGAAACCAATAGAAGACGAAGAAGGAAATTTAATTACAAAAGAAGAGAAACAGAGGAAACGATGGGCCGACCACTTCAAGAAGCTCTTGAATCGACCACCACCTGCACTTCGTCCAGAAATACCACCTGCAGCCGCTGAATTACAAGTGAACATAAATCCCCCAACGAAAATGGAAGTCCTGAACGCCATAAAGCTACTGAAATGCGGGAAAGCAGCAGGACCAGATGGAATACCGCCAGAAGCACTGAGAACAGATGCAGAGACAACAGCGGACATGCTCACACCACTATTACAGAAGGTGTGGAAGGAAGAGAAGGTACCTGACGATTGGAAAAAGGGTTACCTTGTCAAACTGCCGAAGAAGGAGACTTGAGTGCTTGCAAGAACTGGCGCGGAATCACTCTCCTGTTCGTCCCAAGTAAAATATTAAGCCGCATCATCCTAGAGAGGCTTAAAGACGCACTGGATTCAAAACTGCGACCGGAACAGGCAGGCTTCAGGAAGTACAAATCATGTGCGGACCAAATTGCAACGCTTCGCATCATCATAGAACAGAGCATAGAATGGCAATCAGCTCTATACCTCAACTTCATCGACTTTGAGAAGGCCTTTGACAGCGTCGACCGAGAGGTAATTTGGAAACTTCTTCAATACTACGGAGTACCGCAAACCTTTATCCGCCTCATTCAACAACTATATGAAGATGCCACATGCCAAGTAATTCACAATGGGAAGCTCAGTGATGCCACTGAAGTGAAGTGAAGTGAAGACAGGAGTGAAACAAGGTTGCCTACTATCCCCCATGATATTCTTGATTGTGGTGGACTGGATCATGCAGCAAACAGTAGGCAGCGAGAAGACGGGGATACGCTGGACTGTGGAAAAGAACCTAGAAGACTTGGATTTTGCCGATGACTTATGTCTAATGTCACATAAACTTGAAGATCTGCAGGCAAAAACTAACAAGTTGATAGAAGAGGCAGCGAAGACGGGACTTCAGGTGAATATAGAGAAGACAGAAGTGATGAAGATACCGCACCACCACCATCAACAACAACACCAAACTCCAATCACCGTCAGCGGGAGAAACTTGAAGGAAGTAACCTCCTTCAGTTATCTAGGAAGCACTGTTTCAACTACAGGCGGGACGGACGAGGACGTCAAAGTCAGAATCGGAAAACAAGACAGGCGTTCATTAGCCTGAAACCAGTTTGGAGATCTTCTGCACTCAGCATGCGGAACAAGATACGGATTTTGAACACCAACGTCAAGTCAGTGCTCTTGTATGGTTCAGAGACTTGGCGCGTCACGAAAGGCATTTCCAATAAACTACAGACATTCATCAACAACTGCTTACGCTGGCTCGCTACTGGAGATCAGATGGCCAGAAAGAATAAGCAACAAGGAACTCTGGGAACGAACCAACCAAGAACCTATCACGCAACAAATATGCAGGAAGAAGTGGAGATGGATTGGCCATGCACTGAGAAGGCCGACTGAGGACATCACGCGTCAGGCCAGGTACTCGAGTGGAATCCCCATGGGAAGCGACGAGTTGGACGTCCCATCTGAGGGTGACATGGAGGAGGTCGTGCGAAGAGGAAATGAGAGCTTCTGGGCTGTCGTGGGACCAGGTTCAAAAGATCTCAGAGAACAGAGATCACTGGAGGCGTGCTACTGAAGCCCTATGTTCCACTAGGAACCCAAGGGACTAATAATAATAATAATAGTGATTATTGTCTTTCAGTTTGTCGGTTATTTTGCTGCTTGTTATTGATAAGTATGTTACATTTTATCATAGTGTTTGTGAGCGTGCTTCTATCGTGGAACTAGTTAGCCGGATAACGGTTACAAGTTATTATCTCAAACCGCAATGTATTTTCCAATCTTCCTATCGTCTATGTCCGGCTATGAATACTGTGTACAACCAGCATATTCTCAATGTTACAGTTACGTTTATGGGATTAGGTAAACAAGATTAAACCAGCCGATATAAATACAATACAATGGTCAACTGAGGTGGTTGTGACAGATAAAATCAAAGTAGAATTTGGCACACAAGTGCATCAGACCAATTTGCCACAATTGACAGTAACATACAAAGTACAACTATTGACGAAAGGCTGACATCAAAGTAGACAAAGGCAAGTGAGGGGGGGAGGGTTGAGGGGATTTGAAAATAAAGGTTAGTGAAAATATTCCAGCTTTAAAAAATATCAAAGAATGAGTACATCTACACCATTGTGACCGATTTTCAGTCATTTAGTCAAAGGTTCTGAACGACTGATTCTTGTCGTCTTTTATAGATCCTAGCCAAGTAGTCTACACCTTCCTAAACAGCTCTGACCAAAAGTCAGAGATTTCATTTACTGAAAGATGGCTGTGATATGTTACACATGAGTTGTTGTTTAGCTTGAGTAGAAGCTAATAATGATCACATCAACATATGATATAATTTCATGAGGACTTTGACTACTGATATGAGCCGTGTAGCAAGATATTCAATATCGATAGCAGAACATATTAGGTGATACCGCTCAAAATGGATGTTGGGCACTTTATATCTGCACGCTTTTTTGTCGTCATTCTCTTCTTTGATAGTTTTTTTTACCAGTTCTTAGATTAATTATTGTCGTCTTACTGTTTTGGTGTAAGTTGTGGTGACGGGAACTGTGATCATTATTGACATTCAGGTCCTAGACTACTTACCTTCTGTTTTGTAACTGCAATAGTTTTGCATTTACTGATGCATATTATTTAGTTTCTTCATTTCGTCAGTGATTAGAAATATGGATTATAACAGCGCGTCAAAAAAAGACAAAAGTTTTGTTACAAGCAAGTAGTTTCTAAACGAACGATTAGGAAAAAAGACAAATAACATCGTTCATAGTGTTTAAAACTTTGTATGTATAGAAAAATAGCTTAGGATTGATGCCTTTGTGTTTTAGCGCCTTGGCAACGATCTTCAATAGTTGCAAGTATCTTTGAACCCCTACTACATAGATGACTTTGACCCCCTTGATAGCTACATTTTCATTTAATAGATCAGGGGTTTAAAGTTTTTTAGACGTGTTTTTCCCAACCGCTTTTCGATAGCTGCTACCTTGACATGATGGTCGGGTTTAGATATCACAATGAATCAACGAGGCATACTAGTGGAAGAATTGTTCTCTAGAAGTTTTATCCTTCCAGAAAGTTCAGTTGGATAGTACTAAGATGAAAGGCAGTCATGTAGTAGTGTAAACTGCTACATTATGATGAGGGTCTGAGGGTGAAGTCCTTCTTCTAGGTGGATAGGGTGTGACAGCAGTAAGATGTTTCCCTTCGATGACTAACAGTGCGACTCTGATGCCGTTTTTCCTTATGAGAAAGTGTGTGTGTGTGGGGGGGGGTAGGAAATGCTGTCATTAAGAATAACACACTCCCTTCTACCCCACTGCATACCGTTGCCGAAAATTTGGGTTCACAGTCGGATTTGCCAAAAATAAACTAAAATTCCAATATTATAAAATGGCCGTATGTGACATGCCTCAAGCAGATGTCCTACGTGCTTTTTGGTTGCACAGATCTTTTTCTGTTTCAGGTACCCTATGAAGAAGTTACTTTACACGGTTTGGGAAGCTGGGAAGTGTCAACTGCCTGCACGCTCCCAGTAGTCATACAAAAGACCCTGTCTATTCCCAACCATTCTGTGTATACATGAAGGTTGAAGTTACTGTCATTCAGTGAGGGATACTGGAAATTATTCAAGAAGAACGTGTCCACAATCATAAGGAGTAATATACTTTAGCATGAGGAACTGGAGATGGAATAAAGTATTCTTACGAAAGTTGGCTTCCATGAAGGAAAAAGTATAAACTCTGTCTTCGTTTGTGTTTACAATTGGGTACTCAGTCGTGAAAGATCAAGTGTCCCCATCCCTAGGTCTTACGTCTTTCAAAAGCCATTTAGGTGAACGAAGAATATTCTGATTCGAGGTTTATGAATATTTAATGTTTGCTTTTAAGTTGGTTTTCATCACGGACTGACATCAGTTGAAGAAAGATTGGAAACCCGGGAGCATTGGACGGCTGTTTCGTCCCAGTATGGGACTCCTCATCAGTGCTCACCCATGACCCCGCCCGCTAGGGATCGAACCCAAGGCCTTCAGGTCCCGTGGTCAGCACGTTACTATTGAGCCACTGGGTCGGCGGGACCCGATGGTCTATATTTTCAATTTCTGTCACTTCAGCCTACCAGTGCTCTCAGGTTTCCACTGATCCTCTAACTGATGTGGGTCCTTGACGAATACCAATTTGAAAAATATCCTTTTCGATAATTTCTTCACATCCTCTAGCTATGTGTACAGATTGAGACATTATGCGTCAACAATGTTGAGTTTTCGCTCATTGGTTTGTTAATGACATTAAATAAGTGAGGAGTTGTTATGATGCGAAGTTGTGAAAACGAACGAAGATACTTAATTGGTAGTCGAGGGTTGAGACGATGCAACCCGAGTGATTCGCAAAGAGAAATCAAGACTAAAAGGCAGATGAGTTTATAGTATCTTGGACTGATGCGTTAATGGTTAAAGACTGACCCTATCTATAGAGTTTACAATAACCTTGAAAAACAAGGAATAATTAGTGCATATAAAGAGGGAGGAGGCAATCGGAACAATAGGAGGGGGGCATACGAAATATGACCCATGCGCGGGAAGATAGCGCGAATAACCCAGTTCAAATATATACAAAACTGTAAGTATGGAATATAAGGGATGTGGGTATCCGTAACGGAAGTTCTCTTCAGAAAATTCTTGTGTAAATGTTAGTAGTAGGATCAATTGTTACTGGAATTCAATTCAAAATAATTCTTTAGCTAAAAGGTTTTGCGGCTTATGTAATACTATAGGATGATAGTTTACTAAAACAATAGGAAGGTGTTTATGAGTGTTAGATGAAGTAAACTAAGAAAGATGATTTCTAAAACAGTGGCTTGATAGAATGTTGTTCATGTTCGGGGCGGGGGGAATAAAAAGAGTTGAGAGAATATGCTAAAATTATTTCAGCTTATAGGTTCGAAGGGGTATCTAAAGTATAGAATTCGAAAATTAGATTATGTAGGATAGGATACTGAAGAATTTGTGTGTCCTGAATCGGGCCATGGTAGTTGTAGTGGCAACACTTGCTTTTTCGAACACATAACTCAAGTTGTTTGATCCCGATTGCTACTGCTTCAATAAGTTGAAAGATTCGGAGCTGGGTACCTTTTGACAGGTCGACAGGAACCTGGAACAAGATGGGAAACGACTCATTCATATCCACCTTATGGAGCTAATAATGGTTTTTATCACACCTCTACTTAACTACCCTGGGAGGTGTTCGCCAGCATGGAAAACTATATTCGTAGAGTAGCGGCTGATGTAACTGGTTCCACAGGAACAGTCGAACTGATAAACACAACAGAAAGTGATCAGTCTTGATCTTCCATCTGTCAATTTCAGTGTAACCATTGAGCATGTAGGAAACGAAATTTATTATTTATTATTACCATCAAAAGTTCTTTGAATTGATCTGCTTAGTTTTTGAATTAATATGTTACTGATCATGTCACCTTCAAGGTCGTCAGTGTCTTAAAGTTAAAATTTAAAGGATAACAAACATCTAATTTTCAAGTGAGAAAGATCTTCCAGTTTTATCTGAGTTACATTCTTTATTATGTAACGATTAGTGATATTACCTGTTTGTTTTAGTTTAGGTTAATGGTCTAAGGTTCAAACTTATACTTGCATCACTGATACGAATTGAAATATGCGCATAAGGAATGACTCCAAATCTCATATTTAATACTTAAAGTTATTCCTTCCACTTGAAGACATATTTTTCAATATCAAGGCTATTGCATTGTTTACCGCCACTTTAGGAGTTGGATGGTATAGAATCAAAGTCAAACTGAACTCAGCACTCAGTTGTTAAAGAACCATATCCATTGTGTAAAGGTTAATCATACTTACTGATTGACTAAACTCTAGTACTTGGAACAGAGTTCGAATCTATGACCTGTTGGTTAAAGTTAAGAACTTAAACTCTCTACATACAGCTAAAGTAAATTTTAGCAGTGTATAAGTGTATGAATACACTTCAGTTTCTTCTTTAGTATGCTTACTTATTCCTTAGGCATATTACTGCTTAGTTCACGTGCTGGTGGGACTGGACTAAATTTGATTGGTGCAAACTATTTGATTTTATTCGATATGGACTGGAATCCAGCAAATGATGCACAAGTAAGTTAATTTCTTCCACTTTTTATATATTTTAACATTCTGCATACTTAAATTTATATTCATGTAGTCAGTCTGTATTAGATTTATCATTTTCATTGGAAATTATTATCGAATTGAGAGAAGTGTTACTTATTGCATAAGGAATCTTGTGTCGTACTCCGATGATCCTCAAAAAAGCACCTTATATACAAGATGAAATCTATGATCTTCATATCTAGTAATCAACTTGTTTTCTTTCTGATACTCAAGCGTTATCAGACAGTCAAGATTTTCTAATTTCATCAAGTAATAGTAGCAGTAGTAATAGAGTATGCTTGTCACTTAACATGGCTAGAATGTATTTATCATCACTCCTGTCTTGGTTTCGATAAATATTCTTTCTTCAAAGCGTGCTACATAACATTTATTATTATCTCCTAGACATTGTTTTAATAAGGTCAATGAAGGTTCTGTTAGAGAAACTCCTGACTGCCTAAATTTTATCTGATATTTGCCTATAACCTTAAAATAATATGAGTAAAACTTGTGAACTGTGGTAGATTCATCACACAGTGAAGGAATAGTGTTGTTTACTGGATTACGTTTGGGACATAATTTATTGTACATAGTCATACCAAGATGGCTACACAACTTTGACACATACTTTATATAGTAGTGATGGATAGTGGCTAGCAGTGGGACCCAGGATGCCTATTTCGTCCTATTAGGGACTTGTCAGCTGGATGTACCTGCTTCCAAGTGAGTGATGTTGTCCCTACCGGAATTCGGACTCCGTAGCGACCACCTCAAACACCAGAGCGTTACCCACTACCACCACCAAGCCATAATAGCCACTTGTTGTGCGATGGCTATAGTTTTATTGTTTCTATTATACCGTCGTTGATTGGACCGAGTTGATCGGTCTCTATTGGTATATGGGCTGGTGTGCGGATGGTAGAGTTAGAGACCATACCTTCCATTCAGTTAATCTAAATTCCTTTAGCGTCTATTCATCTCTGTCATTATCATTTTCCAAGTTGGCGCTTACCGCTATGGTCTATCCTGTATGATGTATATCTACGCCATATCATTACTGGTGTTTGTTCAGGTACAATTGTATCGAAGTCTAGTTAATTCAAAATAAATATTTGTGGACTTATTAAATTCATTGATTGGTCATTGCAGGGTGACCGACTTCATGTTTTCTAGTCCTATTTGCTGACCAAATTCTATCAATCATCTTGAAATGTGGCCACTAGACTAGGCAGCTCATCATCGTGATGCCCTGAGATAGAAGTTTGTTGGATGGAGGCAATTAACAGACCTAAGTTTTATGCTCTTTAACACTCGTCAGCAAGGTGTACCTTCAACGTCGACGGAACTGATGTCCCGTTTGAGACTACAACACTTGAGTGATGTGGGTTCGAATCTCAGACGAGACATCAATTCCGTTGGGGTTGCAGATACACTCTGTTGATGAGTGCCAACAAGCATCGAAACCTATGTCCAGGGCTCCCTTCCGACTGATAATTAATAAATTCGTTTACGAATGTTCACATCTCTACATCAATGAGTAGCACCATTGTAAATTAGATAAAGCGTTCAACTTGTAAGTCTTTAAAGTTAGTCGAAATTGAAAAAAATACTTTCACTAGACGCTACAATCATATTTTCGTCTTAGTTTTGTAACTCAATACTAGTTGTATCATTTAGGTGTTTTCTATCGATTAATTTTCTGTTGTTAAACAATCATTTAGTATATATTTTAAGTCACATCATATTTAGGCTATGGCTCGTATATGGCGTCCAGGTCAATCTAGACCAGTTCGTTTATATCGACTGGTAACAGCTGGTGGCATGGAAGAACGAATATTCCAACGACAAGCAGCTAAATTAGCTTTAACTAGTCAAACACTAGTCAATACATCAATGCATAATGGTAATATTTTCAATTTTCTTGATAAAAAGTCTAATAAAAACCATGGAGTCCTTACCCGTGATGAATTAAAGGTATGTTGGCGTCAATGGTTAAATTATCTTGTAGTATGTTCTAACCAATTCAACTTTTAAATATAAATTTTGTGTACATTATAGTGTACTGATAAGTTTTATTCGGTTGGAAGCAAGCAATAGTGAAACCTTTGATCGGTATTTCGGGTTTGTTGATACTCGTCAGCAAGGCATGTCTACAACCTCGAGGAAAGTGATGTTCTCTCAGGGATTTTCAACCTACTACACCCAGTTCTGAAATCAGGAACTGCGTAAATCGTCGGTCTAGGGCTTTCTGCTGATTGCATCCAGCTAATGTCTGATTGTGAAGGGAGTACCAAGCAAGTGTATAGTGCTTATCAAAGCTCTCTACTTGAACTCACATAGCCGTATCAGGGTTTATGGACAATTGTTGAGTGAGTTGATAACAACCAATGGTGTCCACTAGGGATATCGACTGTCACCTTTACTATTTAGCTTCATCATAGACGTACTAATAGATATAAACTTAGGTGCGTCTGAGTTCACAGGGACTGACCTACTCCTTGGAGGTCATCTGGTTAACTTGGAGTATGTAGACGATATTGTCCTGTTAGGTGAAGACGCTGATAGAATGCAGGATCTTGTGAACACATTGAGGAGAAATATGAATATGTTTGGCATGGGTTTTTTGTGGCACCTGTCAAATGTAAAATAGTGCTCCTGGACTGATCTGCTGTAAGTACTACCAGTTTGATCATAGGGAGTGAAGTGGTGGAATATGTGAACCACCTCACTTACTTGAAAAGTTGCATCAGCCTGAACGGGGTGGTTGGTGACGATATGTCAGCTTGGATATAGAAGATTCGTCTAGTATTTGCCAACTTGCATCATCTGTGGGGTCGACTGGTGAGATATCTGACTATCTATCAAACGACGAGTATACTGTGCTGCAGTCCGTTCTGTCCTATCGTACGGTTGTGAAATATGGCCATTGAAAGTTGAAGACATGAAGTGGTTACTGGTGTTTAGTCATAGATATCTTCTTAGGATTGTTTGTGTTTTGTGGAATCACCGCGTGAGGAATGTTATGGTTAGTAATGAAGAAAAGCTAGTCGATTGATGAGGTTGTGAACTTTCATTGAGTAAGATGTCTTAGACATGTGCTGCGCATACTGAGCCACTGCCTACCTCAACGTTTCATGCTAGGGGAAGTTAGATTCGATTGGATTAGTGTTCAGAGTGTAAGTGTAAAACTTGGGCACTGTAGTAGAATGTAATTCCATTTACTTGATGACGTTTTAAGCATAATTTACAGCTCTTAATCATATATCTGATTTTTAATAATCCTATCACCTACTATTCTTCGTTTTTATTGATAGTAGAATTTCTCACATCTCTGGTATAAGTGTTGCCTCATTCCTATTCACCTATTCGATGAAGAAAGATTCAGTAATCAATCTTTCTCTTCACCTAATTATATTGGACTTGAATAAAGTGTTTTTATCTCATCGTTTTGTGTGGTTGTGAGTGTATGACAATAACCGAGTCTTTTTTTTATAGATTGTCAATCCTATTGGTCTCAGTTTTTTTACATTTGGCTAAATTCGTATGCCCCGAGAATCTAATTTATTTCGATTAGCTAGTCTAACCTATGTACTTGACTTCACTGTCATTGCATAGAATTTGATAGGTTAAATTATTTTCTTGAATTAGATCTATCGGGTCTTTAAGCCAGGTGACAAATCTTATCTTTGAGTGTGTTTTTAGATTTAAATGCCACCCTAATTCCAGCTTTGTTGAGGTTCCTACGTAAAGTTTCTGATGTTCCTTGCTTGTAGGATAGATAACACAATGGAGGCTTTGAGCCTATTTCTGCTCGTGTTGTCGCCATTATTTGTATTCGTATTACTGTTATTATTTTGTTTCTTATGTCTCCCTTAAAATTTCTTAATAATTATTTAATTTATTTACGAGATGAATGAGGATTTTTTTTAACTTAGAAGTAGCATTCATCATGGACTGACATCAGTTGGGGAACCAGTGGAAATCTGGAGCATTGGACAGCTGTTTCGTCCTGGTATGGGACTCCTCAGCAGTACGCACCCACGACTGGGCTCGGTGTCGAATTCAGGACCTTCAGGTTTCATGGCTATTGTGTTAACCATCTAGCCACTGGGTCGGTTTCCACTGGTTTACAATTTCCAACTTTCGTCAATTCACGACATAGCGCGATTATCACCCAAGGTCTTCAGTTAGCACCCACTTCACTTCCGCCTGTTTGACCCCACAGATTATGGCTTCTCAATAGAACTTCATGATATCCATCTGGAAGCAAGTCACTAATGAGCACTATATTTTTGAGATGTATTTTGAAGAGTCCCATACTAGGACGAAACAGTTGTCCAGTGCTCCCAAATTTTCTATGGTTCCCCAACTGATGTCAGTCCATGATGAATACTACTTCTAAATTATTTAATTATTATTAACGCTTCCTTAAAATGTCTGGTTGAGTTTTTAAGCTCTATGACTTTGACATTTGACTAAACCTGCCCTCACTGCCATTGGATGAGATGATATAAAGTGTAGACACCTGTTAGAATGTGTCGGTTTCATGGAGACGAAAGTATCCAAACCCACCGTCTGTCCTTCGTTTTATTCTGCAATCCAGCATAAGTAATTCTTCCTGTTCATTTTCTATCTCGTAAGTGAATTGGATTGAGTCCACTACTGAGTTTATGTATGCGAAAACTGTCGATATGTTACGGTTTCAATCTAGTGAATGTGTCGTTCACATATCGCCACCATATCCTCAATGCAGGATTATACGTTCCCAAAGCCATGTCTTCTCAACTATCCATAAATATATCTGCCACGATTGAAGATATTGGTGATCCCATTGCTACTGCTTCTGTTTGTCTGTATATTTTGTCCTGAAACTTGAAGACTGTGGACATCAAGCACAACTTTACGCCTAATATGATCTCATCAACCGATATCTTAGCTCTATGAGTAACTTCTGAGTCAATATTTAGTTGACTTCTGACTGCCTCCAGTGCTATATTGATTAGTATTTTAGTATAAAGACTTACATCGAGACTAACCATCTCTTCATCCTCTTCTATATGTAAGTCGTAATTCTTTGCTTTAACTCTTAACAATGAACTAGTTTAGAGTTTGAACGGACATAATATCGATGCTAAGTACTTTGATAGTTCATACATTGGGGTATTTTGGAAGTCAACTATGAGTCAACATGAGATAACCTGGTTTATAAACCTTAATAGTAGCATAAATTCTGTTACTATTAATTTTTTTTTAGCGTTAAACCATTTACACTCACCTAGAGATGGCTTCAATTAGCGTATCAAATCTGTTATAGATTTCTTAATTTTGTTCATGACACTGTCTAAAGTTTCTTGTCCTCTCCATTTGGTCCTTTTTAGACATGTTCATCAATTTCGTTGAGATAAGTCAATTTGTCTATAACTAGTGTTGAATAACTATCCATAAAAACAAAAAAATAAGAGGTGACAAGACTATAAAAATCAGATTTCCGAAGGAGTGTGATTATATTGAGATGTGGGCCACCTGACTGGGGTCCTTTAGACGATAGGAATCAGTGGTTGATGGATCTTAGTGAAATGGCTGAAAATCGTTGACAATGGCGCAGATGTATTCACTCCTTGACGTCTTCTAAAGCTTGAATATTTATAATAACCGTGAAGTGTGGCAAGTTTAATGGATGCACTTGTATGCCAGGTTTTACTTAAATTTTGTCCGTATGTCTATATAGAAGGTAGATTAGTGTAGAACTTGAGTTTTATAGTAAATAAGAGAACGAGTTCAGCGTCCTCTAATTCACCAGTAAGAACGTTCGGTCAGTTTCTGAAACATACAGAAATCACTATAGTGTAGTAAAAAACTACAAATCCAAAGAAAGTTAACAGCTTCTCCGAAATTTTCATGTTTTTATACATTATGCAACTGACGTGGGGATAATGTGTGTGTACATCTGCGCCACTGCCATGATAAATCACCCAGAGTCTCCAACCACTAGTTTCTCTTCTCCCACGGACCCCAACCGGTTAGTCTTCATCGCCCTGCATAGCTCAAACCAACAGTCAAGGACTCCGTGCATTGATTCCATGCTTTAGTTTTTCCACGCCTTGCTTTTTTTTCATCCTGAACCTACTTTGGCCAACTCTACATCTCACGTGGTGACACCACGGAACACGACATATGTTGCGAAGGAAGCAGTGGTCAAACCCCTGAAGCCTTCTCATGTCTTCCACCTTGCCATGACATGTCTCACAGTGCGGTAGAGTAGAAGGGAGCGGACTGCAGCACAATACACTCCAACCTTAATGAACAGTCGAACATCGTGGCGACTCTACAGATGGTTTAAGTAGCAAAAGCTGATCGAGCCTTTTGTTTCGGTACTGAGATGTGCTCGGTCACTGAACCAGTCAGCCAGCTACCAGAGCTGATCTGACTTCTCAGGTAAATAAAGGTTCAACCGCTTTGCTCTCTATTGTTAGTTGGGTTACCGTTGAAGACTAGTCCTGGAGAAACAATTTGTGCTTGCGTGGCTAGAAATACATTCTAAACATTCCCAAATTGAGCAGATGTACTCATTTTCCCGGGTATCGTATACATTTCATTTTTAAGGGGTATTTCAATCTTGTTTTTTGTAAAACAAATTCTAATTTCTTTCTATTTTTACTCACCATTTAGGAATTATTTCTTCTTCCGAATACACCAACAAAATCATGGACTCACGATTTAATTCAATGTAATTGTCAAGTAAGAATAATTAATACCCCAAGTCCATCACTTTCTTCTTCTTGTGAAAGCAACTACCATGCTGATCCACTAACCACTGACAATAACAATGAAGATTCATATGATATATTAGTAGAAGATGATAAGAAAAGTGGGAAAGGAGAAGAAATGGAAGCAAATGAAGATGATATTGTTGATAATAGTGATGATGAATACTCAAATATTAGAATATTTCAGTTGGGATCTATCAATTCACTTGTCAACAACATGAAATCACCCAAATCACAAGTTAACTATCTTAGACAACAGTCAGCGTCATCATCATCATCATCGTTATCATTATCAACTGGATCATCTTCAAAACTGTCATCATCTGATTCACTTGGATTTTTGTTGAATTGGAAACATTCCCTGTCGCTGGATCAAATGAGTCAGTTAAAGGATCCACTGTTAGTTACATGTCAATCAGATCCTATGTCATCTCTTATAAGTTGTATATTTACACTGAATACAAAGACTTCATAGATTTTTATGTCATGCATCTTCTACAGATCTTACAGATGTCTGCTTGGTTATCCATTTTTCTCTTGATTATGGTTTCTTCCAGGAGTTTTTTGTATGACAGATTATTTTTGTAAATAGATATTCTCACAAACATGTTTGTTTGTACATTATACAGATATTTTGTAGTGTCATTTAACACGTTTGAGGAACATTAGAAACCTGGGGTACTGAACTGGAAGTCGTGATTGGTGGGGCAAACGTGGTGGCTGTGAGGACAAATACTCATGGATGATATCGGCTGGTGGTCGCAATATGTTTTGAACCAACAGAAGTTGGAAATATGAACTATTGAGTCCCGACCCAGTGGCTGAATGGTAACGTACTGATCACGAAACTTGAAGGTCATGAGTGCACACTGCTGTGAAGTCCCATACTAGGACGAAACAGCTGTCTAGTGCTCCCAGGTTTCCGACCTTCTTTCAACTGATGTCGGTCCATGATGAATACCAACTTGAAAGCAATCACTAAATTCCCACAAACCCCATAAATTCAATATCTTTTTACATGTTTGCAGGTCGTCTGGTAATAGTATGGATTATCACTTCCTACGTAATGATGAAGCTAAGGATTATAAACTTGAGGTTTCGGGGAGGGGGGGGGGTGGTTGTCATACATTTTACGCTTCTGTGCTTCTACGACATAAAGATATGTTTTAATGAAATTAGTGAATGTTCACCAACTGAATTGACATGGATCTGCGTTATGCGTACCAAAGCACCTACTGCGTCGTCGTTCAGTGTTAGCGGAAGTAGGATTGCTTTGTCAGAAAGCTGAACCCAGCCAAACGAAGACATGAAAGCAGTCCATAAAGTTTTTGAATATTGATATGAGACGTGTAGTGAGGTATAGAGTGTCCCGCTAAGATATTAAAGACCATGGGTTTCAATCTTTGTTGACTCCTGGGGATAAATTTAATCACGCTGGTGCAGATTTATTCTTATTTTTCGCCATTTTTAAATGCTTCAACATTTCCACCACTTATTTTATCTATTTGTTCCTTGCATATTACTATGAAATGTGACAACTTGAACCAATTCGCTTCTTTGCGAGGTTCTAGGTTGATTTTCTCTATCTTAAGTCTAGTTAGGAAGGAGTTCAGAACGTAATATTGATGAAGATTAAATTTAAGGTAGTATTCATCATGAACTGACATCAATTGGAGGAACATTGAAAACCTGGGATTGCTGGGCAACTGTTTCGTCCTACTATGGGACTTCTAAGCAGTACGCACTCGCGACCCCGCCAGGGAACGAACTCAGGACCTTCGAGCTGGATATCTCGAAGTTCTAGCAAGAAGTTGTGATCTATAGGGTCAACCAGTCGGGTATGAAGGAGATGTCAACTGAAGACGTTGTCGGATAATCGCGCCATATTGAAAATTTGTAGAAGTAGGAAACTTTGGATCATTGAACTTGACCTCAGTGGCTGAATGGCTTTACGATCGGAAGGCCCTATTTTCGACCGATGGTGGTGTGGGGTCTTATATTTGTACTGCCAAAGAGTCTCATACTTTGGCGAAATAGTTGTTCAATACTTCCAACTGATTTGAGTTAGTGATGAAAACTTCCTGAAAAATTAAATCCTAAAAGACAAATGTTTTTATGTGATATGTTCCAGCTACTGACTGGTTAACTGAGTAGTTCGTTGTACAACATAGTCCTAATTTCATTTTGAATTCTTCTGTATGTCGAAAATTCATGTTTTGAATGATTAACCATCATTATCTTAAAAGCACTACGCATATGCAATTGTACCCAGATACCATTTACTGACAAGGTTGATCCACCTACATTTTACGCTTGATATTCATGTTTAAAAAAAATACTGAGGCAGTTAAGAAGGTTGATTAAAACAAACTTTTGATCTTTCAACTTCATAGTTGTGGTTCTGATTTATCCATAAATGAGCTTAACATAAGAACCATATCTAGATCTATCTTGATGTAAAGCAGCCAGAAGTTGACATAATCTTAAACCATTCTTGATGATAAATTTGTAGTGTACACCTAATCTTCACATCAGAATTATTTCCCGTTGCTATACTGAGTCGAATTACAAGATGCAAGTTTCGTCCTGCTTGGAATTCAACAATTGGGTGTGTCTACATCACAGTTAGTTATATTGTTAGCTTCAAATGCCAAAGCGTTATCCGCTAAAGTATAAGAGCTACGAATTGTAGTCTAGCGGAAAACGCCTTGGTGTTTGAAGCTTTGGCTATTTGGTTCGATTCTCGGTGGGAATAACATTTCTCAGTGTGGTGCAGGAACATCGAGATGACGAGTTTTAAACAGGGCGAAACGCCTGTACTTGATTCCATTCCACTGTTAGCCATCAAATAGAATAAATAAGCGTTTTTCTTCAAAGTCAGACACTTTAATATATTCGTTGCAGGTGGATTCGGTGCGAAAACTAATTTTAAACATTATAAGAAGTGTATGATTGTATTGAGCAGAAACTTCAAACAGTAAAAATATTTTTCTTCCATTAATGAATGAAACCAAAACATTGGAAATCTTGCTTCATCTGTCTTTATTGTACTTCAGCCTTAAGATGACAACTGATACACTTGACAAGAATCGTGCTCATTTTCATTGGTGCTTTGCTACACCATTTTTTCCACCTCTTATAAAATCCAATACAACTGAAATTTTTGGACAATAATACAAGCGTGAACCATATTTTTATGCATTCTGTTGTATTGAACCATTGGGGTTACTTATACTACCTTCCTTTTAGACAGGGTAAAATAACTTTACACGTTATTCAATGATTGATAGTTAAATGTCTAGATTATAGATGGTTGAATGTCACCGCAGCACATTGCAAATAAGGATCTACTGTTGCATGTCTTATAAGAAGATGAGATAGACGGAATTTTTAAGTGTCATGGATAAATGTAACTAGTAGTTGAAAACTGTCCTGATATATCACTGATGGATAGTGGCTAGAAGTAGGACCCAGGACGTGCGTTTCGCTCCACTTAGGGCTCGTCAGCTGAATGTACATGCCTCCCCGTGAGCTATGTTGTCCACACTGGGACTCGAACCCGGGACCGATTACTTAAAACGCTATCCATTAGACAACCGAGTCACGATAGCCACTTCTTGTGCGACGGATATAGTTTATTATGTTGTTGGTTGTAATGTTCCGTCGTTGCATGGGTCGCATTCATCGGTTTCTGTTGGCATATGGGTCCCTGTGGCAGGTACCTCCATCTGATGAGTCTTTAATGAGGCGAAAAGCGCGTCCTGGGTTTCACTGCTACCCACTGTCCATCATTAACATATAACTCGAACAAAGGGAATATCGAAGTATCCGCGCGGGAGCCGAAATGCTAATAGAGACTGATCAATTCGGTTCACTCAACTATGGGACTATACACGCAACAACATTGTCCTAATATACATTATTTCACGCTAACGACAGATACTTGGGAAGTGGTAATTTTGGTAGTACACAATGTCTTCTTAATGACTTCAGTAGCAGTCTGAAAAAAAGCTGAGCATCAGATCACTAATCTATAGTGATATTTAGTTAAACAGTGATTAAAAACACTAACTGTCTTATCGTGACGACTAAGTATATTGATTGCAAATGCATACATATGACATCAGCCCTGGAGTCTTTCACTGTTGATTTTAGTCGTGTAGAGAAATGTAGGCTTCAATTTTGAGGTCAGTGGTTGAAGACCAGGTGATTCTCGGGTTGAGAATCGACATCATAAGCCCTTATGAGTCCACGCAATATCTTTATCTTAATCGTAATACTAAATACCATTATTCTCTTATTCCTTCTTGTTCTCTTTTGACAACTTTCTACCACTTTTGGTGATTTTCTTCCTTATTTATCTATCCTTTATCTTGATGTAGAACTCAAAAATCTACAGGTGAAAACTAACAAGTTGACAGAAGAGGCAGCGAAGACGGGACTGCAGGTGAACGTAGAGGTGATGAAGACAACCAATCAACAACAAGCACCAATCACCATAAACGGGAGAAATGTAAGGCAAGTTGTTTCTTCCACCTTCCGAGGTAGCATCGTTTCTACTATAGGTGGCACATATGAGGATGCCAAAGACAGGATCGGAAAAGCAAGACAGGCTTTCATCAACCTAGAGATCTACTGCACTCAGCACAAAGCATGAACAAGGTCCGGATTTTCAACACTAATTCAGTCAAGTTAGTCATTGCTTCTATATGATGGTTGAGATACTTGGGCGTTGCGAAAAGGATTTCCAACAAACTGCACATATACATCAATAACTTCCGCCTACACTCATTCGATACTGAAGATGGAGATCAGATGACCAGAATAATAAGCAATAAGGAACACTGGCCTTGTAACGAACCAACCAATAACCTATCACCCACCAAATATGCAGTAGAAGAAAGTGGAGATGGATTGGATTAGACATGAATGTCTGTTATGAAAAAAGTTGTTTTACTTATTTAAATACTTTCGTGTTGCTTCCTTGGTCAATTTTTTCCCCTGATTACTTAACCCTTGACCGACAGTATTACTCTGTAATTCCATTATTTTGTTCAGCGCTTTGTCGAACCCAATTAACTCAGTTTTTCCGATGCGTAGCTTCAGGAACAGTCTTCATAACTAGTGTTCTCAAGATATTAGAAATTAATCGTTGAAACATGGTCTCGAAATTTAGTTATTAGTCTGGATGTGCTCACTTTACATTCTATATACTATAAATGCACATTGGCTGGCAACTAGAGAGCAAACAGTTTCAAGTTATCTAGTCCTGAGTACTAAATAAATTCTATTGATAATTTTGCAAGCTAAAATGCTCATCGTCGCGTGGCACTTAGATTGATGTTAGTTAGATTAAATGACCTTGAAGGCTTGATCGATTTTAGTTTTTTTTACTCGCTGGCACTAGTCAGCAAGGTGTATCGGCATGCTTAACGGAACTAATGTTCTACCTGAAATTTGAATGCACACCGTTACAAGAGATGCAATCAACGAGCTATATTGGCTGAAATTGAACTCCTGTATATTTAGATTATATTCGCTTATTGGTCGCTTAACAGCAGTCTTAAAAGGTTGGAGATACTCCTTTGTGGCAAGTGTTAGCATGACGAAACATAATTCTAAGGCTCTCAGCCGAATGCCTCCAACTAACTAAAATTATAATTGTCTTTTTATTCTATAATTAATTGTTTACTGGGGACATCAGAATTATTCAAGATGTATGCCAATTTAAAGAGCTTTACTAGTGTGCTACACTCCTTATGATTGTAAGGAGTTAATAGTAAGTTTCATACGTAGTGTTTAACAGTGAGGCATATTTTATCATACCTTTTAAAGTATTCTGAATAGTAAATTCCTTATTATTAAGCTATTTTCATGATTTTACCTTCAATAAGTGAACTTTTTATTGCGCTGACTTACTTAGCGTTTTACTTGAATTTACAAACTAGATTCAGATGAAAACAATTATTGTTTGTTTTAATACCTTATACTTTAGTAAACTTAACAGATAATAGAAGATAAAGTTTGACCTATGTAGTTGGGGTGAGGGCATATGTTATCAGACGAAGATATATTAGGGATGTATTATTTTCATGTGTATAACTGACTGTACGACAAGTTGGATGAAAAATTGAAACCCAACAACTTCTACATCAGTGGTAAGTGTTGACTGTAATTTCAGCTACTTCTTATCAATATGATTATGAAACATGTCTCGAATTAAAATACTACCATTAACATGAGTCTGTAATAGCACTTGTAGCCATTGTGGTAACTGATAATTATTTAATTATTGAAAGAAACACAAGTTTTCCCACTGATCAGTGTCTAGAAGCACTAGACTTCAAAAACTAACTTTAGGAGTTGGCGAAAATCTTTTCTGCATGTGAAATAAAACCTCTGAGTGGGTAGTATCAAGACCTAGGAGAAGAAAAGTAAGACGATGAGCTTTTAAATTTGCAGCGAATAACTTAGTCTTACGTGTACAAAGTCACTTAAAAAATTCATCGCTATGAGATCGTTTAAATAGATTGGTACAAAGCTATGAAGTCATTGGTTTTTGTGATGTGAGAAGAAAGTCGACTGCATGGAAGTAGTTCAAGAGGTTGTAGAATATAGGGGTCAAAAGCTAGATAAGGTCGTTTACAAACTTCATTGTTCAGTGACTCACATCACTTTCTTATGTTTTATTACACTTTATTTTACCATTTTTGGCTGCATTACCTCTACTCTTTAGTAGTTCAAGAGGTTGAAGGGTCAATAGTTTTGATTCAACTCTACAAAGAAGTGTGTCCAGAAAGACAAAAGACACTTCTACGTAACACTGGCAAGTGAAGCAGAACAGGCTGCATGTAAGAGAGACCTGACAACATTGTATCAAAAAACCAGGTTACTTGCTGTCTGGGAAGAGATTAACACAGCATAGATGAAACCAATGAAAGGTGATGATGGAAATTTAATTACGAAAGAAGAGAAACAAAGGAAACAATGGGCCGACCACTTCAAGAAGCTCTTGAGTTGACCACCACCTGCACTTCGTCCAGAAATACCATCTACAGCCGTTGAACTACTAGTGAACATAAATCCTCCAACAAAACTGGAAGTCTTGAATGCCATAAACCTACTGAAATGCGGGAAAGCAGCAGGACCATATGGGATCCCGCCAGAAGCACTGAGAACTGACGCAGAGATAACAACGGACATGCTCACACCACACTACTATTGCAGAAGGTGTGGAAGGAAGAGAAGGTACCTGGCCATTGATTGGAAGAAGGGTTACCTTGTCAAACTGCCGAAGAAGGGAGACCTCAGTGTTTGCAAGAACTGGCGATGAATCACTCTCCTATCCACCCACAGCAAGCAAAATCTTAAGCCGCATCATCTTGGAAAGTCTAAAGGATGCACGGGATTCAAAACTACGACCGGAACAGGCAGGCTGGCTTCAGGAAGTACAAATCATGTGCCGACCAAATTGCAACGCTTTGCATCATCATAGAACAGAGCATAGAATGGCAGTCAACCCTCTACCTCAACTTTATCGACTTTGAGAAGGCCTTTGACAGCGTCGACCAAGAGATAATTTGGAAACTGCTTCAATACTACGGAATACCGCAAATCTTTATCAGCCTCATTCAACAACTATATGAAGATGCCATATGCCAGCCAATTAATTCATAATGGGAAACTCAGTGATGCTTTTGAAGTGAAGACAGGAGTGAAACAAGGTTGCCTACTACTCCCCATGATATTCCTGTTTGTGGTCGACTGGATCATGCAGAAAACAGTGGGGAGCTGTGAGAAGAGGGGGATACTCCAGCTGGACTGCGGAAAAGAACCTAGAAGACTTGGATTTCGTCGATGACTTGTGTCTGATGTCTTGTGGCACAAACTTGAAGATCTACAAGCGAAAACTAACAAGTTGACAGAAGAGTGAGTCAGGGCAACGAAGACGGGACTTCAAGTGAATATAGAGAAGACAGAGGTGATGAAGATACCCAACCAACAACACCACCAACAACAAAAACAGAAAGCTCCAATCAGTATGAACGGGAGAAACCTAAAAGAAGTAGCCTGGTTCACCTATCTGGGCAGTACAGTGTCAACTACGGGTGACGGCACAGACGAGGATGTCAAAGCAGCCGAGATCGGAAAAGCAAGACAGGCGTTCACTAGCCTGAAACCAGTGTCGAGAGCTTCTGCACTCCACTCAGCATGTGGAACAACATCCGGATTTTCAACACCAATGCCAGTCAAGTCAGTGCTCCTGTGTGATGGTTGAGAGACTTGGCGCGTTACCAAAGGGATTTCCAACAAACTACAGACATTCATCAACAACTGCCTACTCTGGCTGGATACTGAAGATCAGATGGCCAGAATAATGAGAATAAGCAACAAGAAACTGTGGTTGGCTGGTAACGAACCAACCAAGAACCTATCGCTGAACAAATATCCAATGGGAGGAAGAGGAGATGGATTGGGCATACACTGAGAAGGCCGACTGGGGACATCACGCGTCAAGTCAGGCACTCGAGTGGCCCGATGGGAAGCGACGAGTTTGGCGTCCGAGGTGAGGGTGAGGGTGACATGGAAGAGATCATGTGAGGAAGAAATGAGAGGTTGTGGGCTATCGTGGAGCCAGGTTGAAAAGATTTCAGAGAATAGAGTCGAGTGGAGACGTGGTAGTGAAGCCGTATGTTCCATTAGGAATCCAAGGGACAAATAATAATAATAATAGTTTTGATTCAATAACAACGGGGATCAATGTATCACTCTCATTTTTACTTCCCTATCTCCAACAAGAGAAATAAAATAAATGTTTAAGGTGTAGATGTATTGCGAAGTATTTTCCAGTTCGAAGACAATTTTATCATGACGTCAGATCGAATAGATAACTTTTGAAAAGTATGCTTTGTTACACGAAATCTTGTATTATTACTACGTAATATTGAAAATTCATCCACTGCCTAACTAGATTCCCATTTGATCCTGTGTATGGTGGTGGGCTTATGTTATTGAAGAAACCACAGCTGATGTTTATTCTTGATGAAAGCTGCCTTTCAATTTTTTTTTCAACTAAGCAAACGCGACAAATATACCTGAGTAGCTTTTATTTCAAAACTAAACATCTAATGAATGATAATAATTTTCTTTTACATTATTTCATATATAAAAAATATTACATTTCCCGATGGATTGTTCTTCACTAGAGTTAACTATCAATTCATTTTGCTTTGAATTTAATTTCTTTTGTTTAAAATCATCCCAATCCCATTTTGAATATGTGCTTATAGTAGGAATGTTAGATGAGATAGTTTCTTTGTACACTTCTGGGTCAATATTTTTCGTAATAATATTTATACTATCGTGTTGTTTATCAGTAGTATAAATAGTTGTTACGTTTGTAATCATTGAAGTTGATGGACTCATCATGTTATTACCATGCATAATTGACTGTATATCATTTTTATTAAGAGAATTATTGAAATTATACTTCATTTTGTTTAAATTGCATGACATTTCTATTGGTTGTTCATACTGTTCAGAAGGATTCAACTGAGATCCAGTAGAGTTTTTGTGTACAATTTTACGTTTCGGTTTAACTAATGAGTTGAAATTTCGAAAGCGTTGACTTTTTCCATAACATATAGAAGAATTTGGAGTTTTCTGCTTGGAAAATGTATTGCGTATATTATTTAGTAATTGTTTAGAGCAGTGTATACATGTTCTAAAGTATGCGTATAAAGTTACTTTGAATTCTTGTATACCAAATAATAAAATTGCAGCTCTTATATGAACTTCAATAAAATTTGAATAACGTAGTGCTATTTCATAACTTTCTAAGTATACCTCATATGGTCTTAACATATCCATAAATTTTGAAATAGTTTGTATGGAATCTTGTTCTATATGACCTAATTCGTCTTGTTCTTGGATGTGTACATTGTTTCGACTTGTTAGTCGAGCTAAAATTGAAAAAATAATCATGTATGTAATGTTATAAAGTAATGGAAAGATATTGAATGTTTAACATATAACAATCAAAAATTTTATGTGATAGAGCTTGGTTGTAAGAACTATCTCTTGCAGTAGCTTTCGTCTATTACCCAGGCTCTTAACTGATTTATTCACTTCGAAGTTTTGTACCGGATTGGTTGATTTCAAGGTCGTATTTATCACGGACTGATAGAAATAGGGAAATGTGGATGATTGGATTCCCAACCAGTGACTGAATGGTTATTTTATTATTCTTATCATTTGTCCCTTGGATTCCTAATGGGACATACAGCTTCACTAGCACGTCTCCACTCCACTCTCTTCTCCGCAAACTTTTCAACCTGGCTCCACGACAGTCCACAACCTCTCATTTATTTCTCACATGATCTCCTCCATGCCACCCTCACCCTCACCTCGGACGCCAAACTCGTCGCTTCCTATCGGGATTCCACTCGAGTGCCTGACTTGACGCGTGATGTCCCCAGTCAGCTTTCTCAGTGTATGCCCAATCCATTTCCCTTTCTTTCCAGTGGATATTTGTTCAGCGATAGGTTCTTGGTTGGTTCGTTACCAGTCAACCACAGTTCCTTGTTGCTTATTCTCATTATTCTGGCCATCTGATCTTCAGTATCCAGCCAGAGTAGGCAGTTGTTGATGAATGTCTGTAGTTTGTTGGAAATCCCTTTGGTAACACGCCAAGTCTCTCAACCATCACACAGGAGCAGTGACTAGACTGGCATTGGTGTTGAAAATCCGGATGTTGTTCCACATGCTGAGTGGAGTGCAGAAGCTCTCGACACTGGTTTCAGGCTAGTGAACGCCTGTCTTGCTTTTCCGATCTCGGCTGCTTTGACATCCTCGTCTGTGCCGCCACCCGTAGTTGAGACTGTGCTGCCTAGATAGGTGAACCAGGCTACTTCTTTTAGGTTTCTCCCGTTCATACTGATTGGAGCTTTCTGTTTTTGTTGTTGGTGGTGTTGTTGGTTGGGTATCTTCATCACCTCTGTCTTCTCTATATTCACTTGAAGTCCCGTCTTCGTTGCCCTGACTCACTCTTCTGTCAACTTGTTAGTTTTCGCTTGTAGATCTTCAAGTTTGTGCCACAAGACATCAGGCACAAGTCATCGACGAAATCCAAGTCTTGTAGGTTCTTTTCCGCAGTCCAGTTGGAGTATCCCCCTCTTCTTGCTCACCACTGTTTGCTGCATGATCCCGTCGACCACAACCAGGAATATCATGGGGAGTAGTAGGCAACCTTGTTTCACTCCTGTCTTCACTTCAAAAGCATCACTGAGCTTGCTTTTGTGGAATGGTCGGTTACTCACCGCGTTATCTGGTAGTAAGGTCGTGGCTGCGCGCGGGGAAGAAACGGCTTTTCAGGACTTCCGGATTTCCACTGGCTCCTAAACTGATATCAGTTCGTGATGAATGCTTCCTAAAAATAAGCCTCCAGTTGCCTCTGTATAAATTCTTTTCAAATGCACATGTCAGCTTGAATTCATTGGATTACTAATCTGATGTAGTACCTGACTAGTTTATTATGACTGAGCAGTTACTATTTACACAAACAACATTTATGTAGCTGTTGTTATATGTGAGTTGTTTGGGTGTTGTTTTGAGAACTTTTTTGTCGACATCCGCTGAAAAGCATGACATTCAGACGCCACCAGAGCGATGTAATGTAATTCTTCTGTGTTGAAGATTAGATGCTACTTTGACTAGACGTTCAGTTGCACTGATCTGTCCACTTAATAAATTTGCCCCCGAAAGAAACGAGGGACGTACAATGTTTGTTGATATGCGTAGGTGGAAGGCAAGTATCTTCACCAATTTATTTTTACTAGTAGATGTTTAGGTGATTGTTCGAAACATAAATTGACCTTAAAGTCAAACAATTGAGATCACAATTATTATGTATTCTACTCAAATGATCAGCTGTCTACACGAGTCTGGACTGTGTATCAGTCTCATACACTTAGCTAGTACCTCCGTTAGTCTACACAATTAGTTTCCATGTTAAAAACCTCTAGTGACAAACTGTTATGTTCGGCTTATTGTAATGGCTTCAGGTTTGATTCGGCCTTCTCAACTTCAAGGAGAGTTGGTGGACTGAAATCTATGTCCGATTCATGTTCATCGTGGATGTCAGGCAACTAAAGCGTTGTTATCAGCCAGTTGAATTGTGCTTCAAATGTTCCACACAACATTTTTAACCGTCTGTGCTGAGAGGTTCTCAGCATCCCATTCTTTTCGGTGATGGTTTCGCTAACCTTCATTTTCTTCTTGCCTTTTCTCCTAATTGCCGAGTTTTACAAACACCGCTGATGCCTTCTCCATCTCTCTCACTTTCTACAACGACTACTGCTCGTAGTTATTGCCAAGACTGTTAGTCAACTTACATTTGATCTGATTCCATTCTTCATTGTGGTCAACGTCTGTTGAAATAAGTCTTTTCACATCGATCAGCTCGGATGAACTTACAGAAATCCACTGACTTTTTGCGTAAGTTATAAACTGTCTATTCTACCAATTTCATCGAAGAGGTTCCGGATTCATTTGGCTGATGAGTTAGTTGCAGATAGGATGAAAGTAGACGATATCAAAATGCCCAGTTTCCCATTTTCAGTGAGCCTGTTATAATAAGAAGAAATTCTTAAGTTGTAATATTTAAAAACCGTTTTCTTGAGGTCTACTATCTACTTTTGAGATATATCCGTTAAACAATCATAACAAGATTCCCTCTGTTTTAAATAGAAGTAAACTAATGAAGTGAACACAAACTTTCATGCATATTCATATCTTAGTTATCTCAGATCAATCCGTCGGTATTTTTTCAGTTTCATTTCACATAACATGGCCCTTTGAATAATTCTGAACTATATTCATGGAAAGCAGAATATGATATTAAGTTGTGACTTGTACAGATGAAGTTTTAGATCCCTTCGTATTGTCTAATACTGATTTTAAGAAAGGAGTAGCTTAATTAATATATGTATTAAGAAGTTCTGAAGAACAGTTGCTCCATCTATCGTCTACTGAAACGAAATTCTTGTTTGTGCCTTAACTAAATATTTGAGAGGCGAATGAATCGAAGCTATTTGTGACTGATTGGAAAAGAGACTTGAGTTAAACAAAACCACCAATCCTAAATGGATAAAGAGTATTTCCTCGAGAAGAGCAGCGTGATAAGTAAGAGAAAAGTAAGCACCTAAATTGTCTGTCATCTACATCTTTCCATCCTCGATAAATAACCCTTACCAGCCTTGATAATGGCTTTCTATTCATTCGTCTATACAAAAATAAATCTGTCAATAATTTTAAAGACCATTTAAAATCACGCATTTCATTTATGTATCTATCAAATTTATAAATAAAAATTGTGCTACTGATTTTGTTTTCAGTAGTTAAGTGCACTAACAAAGCATAAACTTACTTAGGAAAAAGGAATACTTCACCAAATAATATAAACACCTTGGTAGTAAAAATACTCCATGAATGAATGAAAATAGAATAAAAACTCGAATAATTTGTGCAATCCATTTAATATATGACAACTGTATTTCTTTATTATAATCTTGTTTATGATTGTTTTGGATATCTTTCATGATAAATATTAATTTTTCATTATTTTGATTAAGAATTTTTTCCAGTAATAAATTCACTTTAAATCGATATAATATATAACCAATCAATCCACCGAATAGACATATAAAGCATGGCAATAAATCACCACATAGATGATCTAGTAATGGCCATATATAATTTAAAAATGTTGGACTTAATATCCATGTTGATGCAAAATCACACTTGTAAATATTTTGAACAACACGTTCGTGTAACATTAATGTTTCCAATTGAGATAAATCAAATGTCCATATAAATTGACAATTTAATGTTATTGTTACAACTAATATGAAGATTAATGCATTTTGTACAATCTCTTTTGTTTGTTTGAACGATATATTCAATTGTTTCAATAGATTAGAATATGATTTCAATGATTCAATAATGAATAGAATAAATAATGTTGAATGTATATGTTTAGATAAATTATAAAACATTGGTAATATTTGACAATAAAAACGTCCTAAAAATTGTAATACAACTAATAAGCGTATTTCATGATATGATTCTACAAGAAAATCGATTGCACTAATCATTAAATCGAATTGATCCAACAGAATAATATAGAATAAATAGATTACCCATGGTAATTGTCTACATGATATTCGTAGTGTTGTACTAGCCAGTATAAAATTTAATAATGATCCACATAATATTAATGGAATAATTAAAATATTTCCAAGTAAATTTATTGATAATCGATTACTTTCCAATATAGCCAATTGTTCACCTTCTCTTGATTGTACTGAACCACGAATATTTAATGGTTCAAGGAATGTACCATTTAGTGTTTGACCTTCACTGATAAATTTAACAGATTTTAAATTTGTTAAATTCTCCATTGATGATTGATCAATGAAATGATTTGGATATTTAATAAATTCATTTCCCATAGATGTAGCTGAAATAAGAATCATGGGAAAAGAAACATTAGATTTTATTGAGTACATCGATAACCAGGAAGAATATGATGTTAGTATAAGAATCTGTTTTCGTTTAAAGACACCATTTTATGTACATTGAATACACACATCTTGCATGAATGTTTACGGTACCATAATAAATCAACCAGCCTGAAGGAGAGACTGTCAGTCAACATGCAACCTCGTTGGGAAACAGTACAGTGAAATGGATGACAAAGAATGCTGAATGCTGTAACTTCAAACTCTCATAACCCATTATCGAAGTGGAAACACGATAACTAAGTTGGTAATATTTGCTTCAATAACACGAATCGACACTTATTATATTCTGGTGGTTGAACTGATCGCTGAAATAGTTTGAAGACGGTTTGATTTACTTCCAGTTTTCTTGAAGCAGTAATGTTGGGTGCAATTTGAAAGAATTATCATCATCTGATCGATTGTTAATTGAAAACTCTCGAGATACTTAAATTCACCCCGTTTTTCTGAGAAGTTTAAGTGAAGACCGTTACATGTGACTTTACTTTCAAGCCTTTGTCCTTGAATATTGTTTAGATTACTGTATCTCCTAAAGATGATTTTCTTCAAAAATTACATATTCAGTTCTCCGCATCCAGAAGACCGTCTAATTGAGATAAGTGGCATTTCAAGTAGCCTCTCTACCTGACAAATAATCAGCTCATTGATTCAAATCCTCCTTAAACATAAAGTCAGATGCAGTGTTCATTTCAGTGACTAGTAGTGGGATCCAGAATGCGCGTTTCGTCCCACTTGGGGCTCATCAACTGGATGTGAGCGACTTTTTGTTACCGCTGAAACTCGAACCCATTACCCATCATTTCATATCCACTAGGCCACTGCTGCACAATATCCATCTCTTGTAACGTGCATCAGCTGTTGTTTTGATACATGTAAGTTCCTGCTGCTATGCAGGGCCGAATTGCTTGACTTCTGTTGGTAGATGAGCTCTTATGCGGATGCTGCGATACTGGCAGGTTTTCACGATGTAACATTCATCGTTTTGATTAGCAGTGGAATCTGTCAGACGAGTTTTGTCCTACTTGGGCCTCGTTAGCTAGGTGTGATAGGGATTATCAGTGAAGTAATTCTGGAATTATATATGAGGGTTGTTTTTTATAATCTTTTTGTGATATGAATCCATGGTGGATTAAAGAACTCTCTGTATTCCCTCTTATTCACTGAATGAATATTTGTTAAACACTAAGCGAAGGTACTGATAATATACTAAATGGTCATCACCCACTGAAGACAAATTACACATACCTGTTAGCATTTGTCCCTCATAATTAGTTCGGGTTTAGCTGATGAAAGGTCGGTCAAAAGGAGTTTAGGGTGAACAATTAATGAGAAAGTAAAAACCAACAAATTTGCGTGATTCATATGCAACACAGATTATGTAAAACAAAATAATCCATTTAAATACTAAAACCTTTTGGTTGAGACAATATTATTATAGGTAACCACCCCAAATGTGACCTTATTCTATGAAGTCTTCGTTGTTAGTTTGAGCTGTTTAGTGACATATAGACTCCTGAGTTAGTGTCTCCATGACAACTGAAACAATTGGTTATCGACTGTAGGTGACATGGTCAAGAAACGATTGCAATAAAGCAGATGAATGTATACATATTTTCTTATCCATTTTCGCCATATCGAATTTCTTCGTTGTTTACACTCTCTTCTGATGAATTTCTACCACTGTTGATTACTTTTTTCGATACTTTTACACTCTTCATCTTGGCATCTTCTACTTTGATGTGCTGCACTGAGTTTTAATAACTTGGATCATTGGAGATTGATACTAAATGGCATATTGATGTCGAATGACTGACTGATTCTTTGATACCACTTAGAGAAAGGAGACGTTGATCAAATGTTTTTTTGCGTGAAATTCTTATGGAGTTTCGAATTTTCGTGTAACACTATGAGACTTTATGGAAAATATTCATTTAGTATCAGATTTAGGGGTCAAACGGTAGAAAGTCCTGTTCAACTTTGTTAGAAATCATCAGCAAAATGTTAACTGTGACTTGTAGGATATTGATTTTCATTCGACTATTTAAACATGTGTCACTCAAGCGTTAGAACATATTAGGAAAATACACAAGCGATGATTGAATCATCATACAGTTGGATTATCTACATAAAGTGGTCACCAAATATTGATAGATGTACCTTTCAAGTTCTGTGTGCTTATTGCTGACCCATTGACCAAATTTACAGTTTGATCATTTAGTTCAGATAAACACAACACTAAGAAGTACTATGTTCAATGGAAGATATTAAAAGTCTATCAGTGTTTTAGTTATACCTTTCAGTCCTTGGTTAAAACCAACAGGGATTCAGGCATTAACTAGGACGAGAGAATCATACAATATCTCCTTGTTTTCAATGGGTTACCAGTTGAAGTAAGTCAAGAAAAAGGACCATCTTGTAATAAATCTAATCTTCATCAATCATCCAAATGGATCTGATTTTATCAGTCGAAAGAGCATTATATCAGCAAACATTTAAGCATACAGATATTTAAAGTATGCATAACACACTGGCTATTTTTCTTCACATCATCCAAGAAGACAGAATATCGATATGAAGTAAAAACACAAGCCAAAACGTTTTCTTCAAAAGAACCGAGTGAATTAATAAGTGTTCACATTATAGACTAATATAACCAGAAGAAGCATTTACTCTATATTCTCAAGAGATCTAATTTTAAAAGTAGGAGGTTTTAGCTAACTGTTTCTAAAACATCCCCATATTCTTCAGTGGTATAATGTTCTCTATGAGGTTTAAATTCATATTATCAAAATACTTGACACAATCCTACAGAACTATTTACGCCATAATCAAGGCTTACTTAATCAAGCCTAACATATTCAACATAGAATGATGAAATAGGACTTATATTGAACCATTTTGTTAAAGTTTTACAGTTTAGAGAAACAAATGGTTAGCGCTAATTTTGGAAGAGATGAATTCAAAAATTCCTTTTGTTGATGAGTTTTATTCAGTAAATTTTACTGTCTATCTATTCACATTTTGTTTTAATCAATATGATAGGATAATTAAATGAATCTTTTCTAGATAATATTTATCTTGTTAAAGTGATGAATTCAAATTGAAACATTGTAGTTCTGTGTGCAGTATCAACCGGAATAGAACACAGATAGGTAGAGAGAAAATATCATCATCTCATTCATATTTATACACGTTTCAGTTGTGTTATATTTTGAAAGAAATTCAGTGACCTAATAATTGGATAATAATTTTTAATTTTGTACGAAATAATGTATGCTGAATGAACTGATAAAGAAATTGGAATCATTGAACAATTCAAGGATAAGTGAAAAATGAATTCAGTTATAAATGTACTAGTTAATTCCAATCTAGCGGGAATACTTGTCTTGGTTGATACATATTGTATGTAGCCATATTATGCATATTCTGATGAGGTGAACACCTGAAAGGTTGAATGTACGGACTGATAGAAGTAGGAAACTGTGGATTAGTGAACTCCGAATTAATGACTAAATGGTCACCTGGTTCGCTGTAAAACTTGAAGATCTTAAGTTCTATCCATGGGAAGATAGAGTTATGGGTGAGTATACTAAGTGAATAATAAATACTAGTCTGCCAAACTACGACTATCTCAGATTTCCAAATTTAGATACAGTAAATACAGTTTGTTAGCGTAAAAGTAAACCTGAAATTGGAAATAGTACAAGATTGCTTAAAGTCACAGACGTATCTATGAATTCACACTATCAAATTAGCACCAATTAGTTAGAGAATCTGGGAGCACTGGACAGCTGTTTCGTCCTAGTCAGATGATAATCAATATGATACTCCTCTTCTCTTATTCAGTTAGATTTGGATTAGGATGAGAAGTCCTGACTAGGCAGCCAGTGTGAATACGATCAAGCGGTAGTAACGCGTCGTGGATTCATATGGTAGTCAAGGAAAAATCTTGGCGATTGAAGTAAAAAAAGAATCTGGTGAACTGTTGGATCTCGTAGCTCAGTTGGTAGAGTATTCGGCAGGAAACCTGATGGTCGCTGGTTCGAATCCGCCCATGGTCCAGATTTTCATTTCACCTTCAATCATAACTCAGTATGAATCTAAATTTCCTGAGATTAAATTTTTCTACCTTTCTGCATCAAAACGGGACTAGGAAGTGGGTAAGTGTTCAGTTCTAGATAGTCAGTGTTTCTTGAAGAACCTCTGCATCTGACTGTCTGTCTATGTTTATAGCCTGTGTTTTTATGAAAACTAGCACTTAGTCGGTGATGCATCACCCTATACCTAAGAACTTCCGAAAACATTGAGGAACAAATCTAATGGCATACAGAAATCAGTAATATCTTGATCAAAGTACGTAAACTAATATACAACGCTTATTTAACAAACTAATTTTCATAAGCTTATAGTGAATTGAATTTCTTGTTCTCTAACTAGAAAACGTTCAACCAATGAAAAGACTTGGCCAGTGTTTTTAAACTCTTTCAAATCTATCATCTTTACAACAGTGAAGTGCATATAAAACCAAATACAATCGTCTCACCCTGTGTCAGTTAAAGTTGGCTTAGAAAGTATCTAAGTAATAGAGCCAAAAAACTTACTAGCAAAATAGGAGATCTAAAACAAGAAACTAGATGCATTAAAGACGCCTTAATCATCCACAGTTACCCTCCCAAATTAATTGATAGGCTCCTTAGGAATCGTAAGGAAAATATCAGTAACACAGTTGTTAATAGTAGTAATAACAGCAACAATAGTAGTAATAATATAGTGTTGGTAATGATGTTAATAATAGTAGCGGTAATACTGTGAATAGAGAATTAGAAACCTCTACGATACAAAGAAAGCACCTCAGACATACTACGTAGAATTCTCGATAAGGCTGAATGGGAATGGCTCACTTCGAAATAAACTTTGTAGGTTAAAAGATCCTATTGAC